AACACAGGTAACTGGTTTTAATGTTGTGGTTGATCAGTGTATATCTGTGGCCTGTTCTGAAAGAGTTCATTCTGAACCATCAGTAATGTGATTTAATACTTTTTTTTTGTTTGTTTCAATTACTTCCCATAGCTTCATGGCTTTTAAGTAAAAGAATTCACCTATAAGCCACAACACTAAAACCAGTCACCTGTTTTAATGTTGTGGCTGATCGGGGGTAACGTGGTGTGCACACGTTTTTAAACGACTTGAGACGACCAGGAAGTCCTGCAACAGATGGTCTGGCCCCCGCAGAGACCTGATCTCAACGTCATGGAGTCAGTCTGGGATCAGACGCTCCAAGATGCTGGAACGATCGACCTGCCAAGTGCCTGGAACAACTGTTAACTGTACTGAGGGGAACTGGTGCTTTAACGCAAAAGGTGGTCAAATAATGATTTCAGATATTGATTTGATTTAGGTTTTTTTCTGTTCACTGCACTGATCGATAAAAACTGCTCGTGGCATTATCTTTTAAAGCATCCTCGGGACAGTACTGTGTGTATGACACGTGTAACACTGACCGGTACCATGTTGAACCGGCACTTTCACAGATCAAACTGTGCAGATAACTTTTATGTTCTCTCACTTAAGTAAATTCAATTTTTTTGTTGTAAATTAAAAATCTCAATACTTCTTCCACCAGTGTTCACAGCCTTTTCAAAATTTCATTAGACCTGTCTCATTTCTAAAATAAATAAAGAGACTGTAGAAGTTTAAGACTGAGCGACACCAACATCCTAAACTCTATAAACAGTTAATAATCTTTCAAATGTCCAAATAAACTCAGACCTGAAATGTCTGAAATGTTTTGTTGCTAAACTGAGCAGTTGTGGCTTAGATGCACAGTTGGCTGTGATTTATATATTGTCACATGAATAAATATTAATCCGGTCACAGCTCTGTCACCTTATGTACTACACCTTATGTATGTAGGTTGTTAGTATTGACCTGGGCGTTTTCTGCACTTGTAACACAAGAAACTCACCTATTTTCTGAAGTCACAGAAGCTCTGACAGTTGAATGGATCAACTTCCCCTGTGAGTTTTGTCAAATATTAACAGAGAAAATACTGCACATTGAATATTTTAGGTAAAACACAGAAGTATTTTAACACAGGCCAACACAGCAGATTCCTTTCTTATCTTTAAACATTAAAATATTCTGCATTTCTATGGACTTGCTCTCACACATTTTCCTTTAGGCCTGTAACCTAGAAATGTGAAAACAGTGATGTTCTCTGATCAGGAAGAATTCACAGATGGTGCTGGTTGGTTTCAGTCATTTGTTTGGTTCTAATTGTTTGGTTCTAATAAATATCATGTGTCCACGTCTCCATTTCAAACAGCAGCAGTAACACCTGGAGGTCTGACTTACTTGGCGTAAAAAACAACATAATCTTCCACTCTTATCAAACTGTTTTAATGGACATAGAACTTCCATTCTCTTAACATACATGGATATATATCATTCAACTGTAGACTTCATGTCTTATGGTCTGGCAGAGTTGAATCAATGTTGGTCAACGTGAACTCCCTCAACAAGCCCAGCTAGAAGTCAGACTCGGAGCAGGATTGCCAGAAGCTGTCACATACATTTTGAAGTGAGGACTGATTTTGTAAACTGTTTACTTTTTGATATTTTTGTTTTGAATTTGCACCTTGACAAATTTGTCCTTTATTGGAAAGTGAACATTCATAAATACTGACTGGACCCTCCTGAAGCCGTGCAGTTAAGACAGGAACTCTAAAATTGAGAGACATTTCTTATAATGACGGTTTCTGCACGATTATCATGACCTACATTATTTATGGCCTTTAAACATTTAATTTAAACTATGTTGTTTAAGTTACAGAAAAATAAAGTCACATTTCACCAAAGGAAAGATGTTTGCAGATAAGTCTTAGTGACAGTTGCTGGCAACAAAGCTCACTGTCACAGACACTACTATCAGTCTCCTCAGTTCGCTGAACAAATCAATCATTCAGTGCTTTCATTTGCTTTAGTCTTACTGTATCATCCTATCTCCGGATGTGTACTGAAGAAAAGTGAAATTTAGCTTCTATCTAACATTAGTTACATTTGACAAAGCCTTGGAGGTCTTCCAGGAACTTAATGTACTCTTGATGCTCAATGGCGGTGCTCAGCTCCATCAGTTCATCAGCAAAGGTGTTGTCGATCCCACGGTCGGCCAGGAAGTCCATCAAGTGGTCATACAGGGCCTGACAGACAACACAGCAACAATTCAGTCATCAGTCAATATCTCTCATCAAGTGGATTAATTGCGTATTACTTTTTGTTTCCTGTCTTACCCAGTCCAGAGAGTCTGTGTTGAGTGTGTAGCTGGTCTCCTTCCAGTCTGTATCTCCCTCAGGCTGGAAACTGACCTCACGGATGGCAAAGATGTCGCTCTCCTCTTCTCCTTCACCATGACTCATCTGCAAGTGCAAATTCAACTTTGCTTTATGACCTCACAACTTAGCCATCTCAGAGAAAGGTCAGAGACATACTGCTGCTAACAACATCACACATCTGACATATTCAATCATTTTCACCTAAACTTACCTCGTCTTCAGGGAAATGGCAGTCAAACACCAGGGAATGTTTTGAAGCCTGTTTTGTGACTTCAACAACAAAATTGGGAGTTGACACAATTTCAGGCTGTGCAGAGAAACAGAATTATAGTTATTTCAATGTACAAACTTGAACGTTAACAGCTTTAATCAGTCCATCATTTGGCCAACATCTTATATTTTTACACACGTCTGACTTAAAGAATCAGGTGACTAGCAGGTTCACTGTGTCTCACCTCTTCCTCTGCTGACTTCTGCTGACCTTGTTCTGCCTCTTCCTCAAAGTTAGGAGGAATGCTGTTGTTGACGTTGAATGAGACAGAGATTCTGTACAAAAAGAGGACACATCAGAAGTTAATTTAGTAAACCACTTCTCCTTCAATCACTGGACAATGGTGGTATCACCAGCGGCTGCGGCCTTACTTCTCTCCAGAAACACTTCTTGTGAGTTTAGCCTCTGTGCCATTCATCTCCAGCTCCCATCCTCCAGACATCTTAGGAAGAGTTTTGTTTTTCTGGATCTTCTTCTCTTCTTTGAGTTCATCAGACAGGAAATCACCAAATGCTTTGTCACCTGTATAAAGTATAACACAGGTTACATGACTTAATCATCGATTCATGTCAACACAAACCACACAAAATTATTTCTTGTTACATCCACTGACTGTATCAGTCAAGGTGAATGCTAACTGTTTAAAGATACAAGATGCTATGATTGTTAGCTTAACTTGCGACAGGTACAACAGCCTATGTAACTGTGTTTAATGGCTACACGTTTATGTAAATGAAAAAAATGTTGTATTTAATTGAATTAAGGCTTAATTTTGAGGTCTGTCCCCACGGCTTGTTGCTCTTTCGTCATGCAGTACTGCCTCATACTAGCTAGCTTAGCTTAGCTTAGTTTAGCTTAACTTGTCTTCTAAATCAAACGTCACCTTCTGTGTGCAGTCCTCCACATCCACACGACACCGTGGGTTGCAACACCTTTGAACTGAACAGTTTTGGCCTGTATCCTGACGAGGCTCCTTTGCTGTTCAGCATCCACAGAGACCGGGTGAAGGGCCGCGTTGTAGCCGAACACGGAGAGCACAGAGTCGGGCAGCTGAGCGGCAGAGCCCGGGCTGTGGACGTGGTGGCTGAGGACATGCGGACAGCGGCTCCCACCGCGCGGACCACCGACTTTAGCATATTAGAAATATTAAGGCGTGTAACGACAGAATAAATGAGTTTGACAGCACACAGACCGGCTGAGTCCCCGTTACTGCTGCTGGAAGATCACAGAAACACACGTGTGGAAGGACACATTGACCTATAGTAACTACGACCTTTGCACCGGAAATAATAGGCTACTTTAAAAGCGAAAGAAAGAAATGAAATTATTACATGTATCTTTAAAATTTTCAAATACGATACAATTTTATATCCCATGAATAACTAATCTGAAATAATGAAGTTGTATATATATATATATATATATATGATATATATATATATATTTTTTTTTTAAAGGTATGGATGTTTTATCCAACTCGATAGCCCCCCCTTGTGGTTTAATTCAGGTACTCAAGCTTCAAAGTGGCGCTTTGACCTCAGTAAAGACTTGAAGGTTTCAGCTTTTAAAGCTGTCCATGAAACAACACTGCATGTATATGAGCCCTGCATTGAATAGTAAGTAAGTAGAAAGTAAGTACAGCATCTGTCCACAAGAGATGGATGGACAGGGAGGTCTAAATTAAGTCATCATCATCATCACAACAAGGACCTGCTGTCAATGTCTAATAAAGGTCCCTGACGCACAGGATCTGCTGTACCATCAAATCAGGACAGAAATCAGTTTCTGGACAGTAGTGGTCATTGAGGGGGGAGGGTTGCATCCCCCAGGGGAAAATGTCTGTATGTTTCAGTGTAATGAGGTGAATCAGTTGCATCATTTAGACATGATTGTCCTGCTGCCAGAAGATGGAGCCGTTTTCCAACAAGTACCCGAGGACTTCACATTTCACTGCATCTACTGTATGGTTGGCCCCGGGTGCTCGTTTATATATTTCTGCATTCCCCCTCCTCCAGGTGATGTTTCACCTCCTCTCCCACATGCGCTGTCTGCATCTGAGTTTAACACATGGACATGTTTTTTTAGCCAGTGGTGGTTCAATATGCAACTTAAACAAATGTGACGTGGAAACTTAAACCCAACAGCTCATATACACTGAGACTTTCAGCGAAGTAGGAGACAAATTGTATCCTGCAGTTTAACTTTTGAAATGAACAATATCTTTTAATTCATAGTTTGTTTGAGGAAAGAGCAGCGAATGTAAATAAATTAATTCAATTTTTTGAGGAAAATGATGTCGGACACAAATTATTATTCCAAGCAGAGTATTTCTATATTTTCTTAAAACAAACATAGTCTAGGATAAGTTATTAACACAAACAAGTAACATACTTTGTCTAAGTTGTCAACAGACCATATTACTAAGTGGTGCGCGCTAGTATAAAATAAGTTATCGTTAGTGTAACTCATCAATGCACTTGAACTATGCCTTATGCTTTCTATAACACCCAGAAGACTTCTCAACACCACAGTTTAAAAGCTTTCAGCTCTTTGACAGACACTAACACATCTATGACACATTTGACTTTTACTGTGTCAAAACCAAGCAGTGGAAAACGCTCATGTGCCTCTTTGAATCTTTACTCTCCACATGCAGACTTGAGCTCTGAGGCAGTGGGTTTATTTTTCATTAGAAATTATAACAACTGTGAATATGTGAGATTATAACAAATCATGTTAAATATGGTCATCATAAACTCATCAAAGGCATGCATTTCATCTTATGGAGTTTTTAACAGAACATGCAGATCTTAAACGTCTACTTTTCCTGTGAATGAAAAAAAAAATCTTAAAAACCCTCATGGGTAGCATGATCTGTAAGAGACTCAGCCGCTGAACAAACAACCTGTATGTCACAGTAAGTCTGATAACTCTCTACATGAACCCCAGATGCAATTGGTGTTTGATATCTTGTAAAATTACAAATAGCTCATGTCATTTATTCAGGTTACAGTTTATATTGTACAATCCTGAGTCCGGTATAAAAAAAAAGACAAGAGGAGCATCCATCCTATTCCTCAACATGGTGTGATTTACATTCTACAAAGTATGAAAGACCTGAGTGATCAGATCGTTAACTATAACCTCCATGCATTGCATACATTTTGTTGTCATCATACACCTTTGATTAGTCTGTGCAGGGTCTGATTGAGGATCTGTGCAACACAACGACAACAACAAAGAGTAGAACCTGGAGAATAAGGCATGCTGCTTCTCCTGACGTGCACGTGTTCATGAAAGCGGTGATACCGTCTTAGACGTGAAAAAAAAGGTCATGCACACGCTAACAAGACAAGTGCTGCATGTAGACTAAGTAAAACCATGTCACTGTGACATGTGAAAACCTCATATTTAACTCTAACTTTGGTGTTTTTCATGTTTTCTTGTGATTACATAACGTCATAGATTAAGACAAAGCTTCTGTCTTCACATATAAAAACCCTTCTGTATAAACCCAAAACTACAGCGGGAAAGTTTAAGAAGAGATTGCTTCTCTTAGCCTCTGAAGAGCTAACATGTTGCAACTTTGTGTCATTCAAATTAACACTGAAAACAACAACTAACCAGTATACATTATCTTTCTGAATTAACTTGATGGGAACAAATAACAATTAAGCACAATAGTTTGTGAAATGAATTTGATTTTGACGACAAAACAAACAGATAAATCATATCAGACCGAGACATTGCTTATTATTTAAAGAACTGTGCTGCAGTGAGGTCGTCTGTGCTGTTAAAATGCATGCAAATGTCGAAAGAACTGAAGAAGAAACGATCTCCTTTTTAGGTATTAAACATGTGGCCCTAATGTCAAGATGAAATATTATCAGGCTGAAGAAACAGTTTATAAAATCTGAATTACAGTCTGGAGGAGGTCAAAGTTGTGAGGCCTCAGTTTGCAGATTTCTGCTGCTGCGTTGACGCGTGCCAGATGCTTGTCAGCTGGGAGGTAGTGAAATCCAGAGAAGTTTACTGCACAGAAAATGTTCTTTTCTGATTTGCATCAAGTGTCTTCATCCAAATTCGGCTTTGTAAAGAGAATCCATGGTTCCAGTATTACTGTCACTGGGTGATTTGATGGAGGTGTACTGCTTCTCTGTTGGTTAGCTCTTGGTTGGGTGGAGTTTGCGGCCAAAGTACTCTGGTGCTGCGTCCAGCAGCCAGTCGGCATCCACCAAACAAAGGTCTCTCATGTAGCAGCGGGAGGTGTGCAGCAGCTCGTTGAAGACCACGTACGCCGGCTTGGCCTGGAAAAGGACAGAGGAGGGGTGGATGGCCACGGGCTGGTGGGTGTGCAGAGCTAAGTAGCTGCCGTCGGGTTGTAGCTCTGCAGCATTGACGAACATCCCGTGGGCAAGGCAGCGGCGAACATTTCCTGTCTCTGCCCCGCAGGACTCCAGCTTCAAATTCAGCTGGTAAGACAAAAATAATTTAGTTATTAATAAGCTCAAATGTGCTGCTGTCCCTGTACACAACCAGTAGAGTTTACTCGAGGGCTCATTTCATAAGTCAAGCGAGCACTGTTCCACCTCGTTGTTTTCAGTGATGTCACTGACCATGTGTGTCCCGTCTAACTCAGACAGACGGAGTGACTCAAATGTTGCAGAAATGCAGCTGGGGGGCGGATGAGAAAGAGCTGCTACACAAAGAAAGACGTCGTGTCGGTCGTGTCCACACACTCTGGCTTCAGTCAACATGGTACAGGGCAACAACTAAGCTAAATGTAAATACTCAAAAAAATACTGTATAATAGTGGGAAAAAAATGGCCGATAAAGGAACCATATCCAACCTCTCGGCTCAGTTTACCCCTTGTCTTTGGGAAGAATTCAACAGTTACATGGGTGTTTTACTTTGGAAATTCAGTGAATTCCTTTCTCATGCTCTCTCTACAACAATGTAAGCAAACCACAAACTATTGAATGTTACCATGGTAACATTGGTCTCTGGCCTGAGTTAGTCTGGGGGCAAGGTGTCAAATTTTTTTGGCTTAAAATTAGTCAGTTTTTATTTTTCTGAAACAGCCTGACTTGGATTAGACTGAAACTTTGAGCAAATTTAAGACCAACACTACAGACGAGTAGCAAATATAAATGTAATATGCCAGTGTGCAGTTTGTGTTTGAGTTCCTCAAGAACCAAGAGACTTTTGTTCATTAGCAGCTGAGTCAAGTGACGGGGTGAAACTTAGTTCGTTTTTAAGTATTAAAATCAATCCACCCATTTTTCTTCCTTTTCAAAACCTGGTTCCTACATTACCAACAATGCAGCTACAACACTGCAAACTACAAAACACCTGTACATGGAGTTCCCCTTCCTACCCTAAAACACTCAGCTGATGGATGAGATAACAGAAGCTATAAAAGTTTATTTATTGGCCTCATATTATTTATTTTCATAGTTGTATGAACAGATGGAGACTCCTGTGCACAGGTGTATTTTATAGGATATTTTGTCATTAAGGGTTACTGGGGGTAAATGTCAGAATTGAATGTGATATTTGACACATTCACATTCACACAGTACAGTCTGTGGTCACAGGGATTTACGGGTGTGTACCTTAAGGCAGATTTCTTTGAGTTGCGCCTGGACCTCTTTCACCAGACCCATGTTCCTGCTGTTGACAAAGTTCTCCCGACACCACTCCTGTAACAGCAGACATACGCTGGATTATAAAGTAGCTGAGCCACATAATATGACTTATGGGTTGCGCTTAGTCACATGTACTTTCTTCCCCTGCTCGTCCACATACACTCACCTTATTACCGCTGACTTTCTTGAACGCTCTGTAAATGTTGAGGAGCGTCATGTGGTCTCCTTCGCTGGAGCTGAACTTCTTGCGTGCTGCGAGCACCTCTTCCCGCCGGGCTGGAGGGTTGTACAGCACGGTGTCCACTGACAGCAGAGACACGATGCTCAAAATCTCCTCAGAACAGGAATAATCCGGGGACAACAGGATGGTCTGTGACACGCAGTGAACAAGGCAGGAGGTGTTAAAACCTAATTCTGTCTGGGTTATAAGCATGTGAACTATGTGGCGCTGCGGGCTACAGGCTGTCACTTTATATCATCTTTAACTAATACACAAAAAGATCTGAGCAGCCCCCCTGAACGCAGTATCTAGTGGTGTAAAGCACTCTTTACCTTGGCATATCGCGGCTCCAGAGGGAAGCTTGCCATCTTCTTTCCCAGAGCGGTGAGGAAAACCTGCCCCTCCTTCCTCTCCACGGCTCCCAGCAGCTCTAAATGGTCCACAGCAGAACGAACGGCCTCTGGGATAAACACAGCAACTTACTATGACCTGCCGACCCTCCCGAGTGACCAGAGGAGCACAGTGATTCATGATCGGTAGCATCTTACCTGGAGAGGGCCTGGACATGAAATCAAAATTCATCACATCTGGAATCCCTAGAGCCATTAACTGCAGCATCACGCCGGCTAAGTTACACCTGCAGTACACACACACGCACGCACGCGCACACGCACGCACACACACACACACACACACACACACACACACACACACACACACACACACACACACACACACACACACACGGAAAAAAAAACAATAGACAAACAGGCCAATCAATCAGACTGACCCAAATGTATCAACATGCAGGAGAGAAGAGCCTCAGACTCCTGCACATCAGCACATACTGTACTGAGATTTATTAACCGTGCGAAAACGTCCTACCTCTGGATCTCAGGCACAGTCATGGGGATGAGGTTGTCAAACTCCTGCTCGGTGTAGAGACGGTAGCAGGAGCCGGAGTCCTCCCTGCCGGCCCGGCCCGCTCGCTGCCACGCCTGCGCTTTAGAAACCCGCTGCACTGCCAACACCTCCAACCCGCTGTCTGAGAGTCACACAGCACATGTACGATCAGATCATAACAAAAGAAGCGAAGGGAAAAAAACCCCCCACAAGACACTGTTTGTGATACTGTTATAAGTCATTCTTGCTGCTATGGTTCGGAGGATGTAATTGATGAATATTTGTTAAAAGTAAAAGAGGGATCAATTTCTCAACACTGAGTCACAAACACTGTTACATTTTGGGAGGAGTGAGGTAAATTAATTAGAAGTGTGTAATTATCACTGGGTAATTGTAGAAATTTTAACAGCTGGATTTTTTTAAAGAAATAATTTGCATCGCTCATATACAGCCACTACTGTCAGTGGTGGAAGAAGCATTCAGATACTTTAAAGTAAAAGTACAAATACAACAATAAAATTACTCTGTGAAAGTAAAGGTCCTGCGTTTAAAATCGTAGTTCAGTAAAAATATTTAAGATCATAAGTTCTATCAGCTAAGAGTACTAAAAAAGTGATGATATAGTATGATATAGGAGATTATTAAAATGTATTAAAATCTATTGTTGTTTTAACTACTTTATATACAGCACAGATAGTTTGGTCCAGTGTTTCCAAATCCAGGGGTCGGGCGCCTCCAAAGGGTCAAAAGATAAATCTAAAGGGGTCGTGAGGTGATTAAAGTGAGAGGAGAGATAACAAACAAAGTTCTGCTGCACGAGATTAGAATTCACTTTTAGGACGAAACAAGAAGTTTAGAGAGGAAGTCTCTCTCTGGTGGAACTATTAACAACTCATGGACATATGAAGGGGATCACAAGCCAAAAAGGATGAAAACTGAAGGTGTAATCTTTAACTATGTGTTGCACTTCATGATTTGATTATGTGTTTTGATGTAAAATCTTGATCTGAGAAGTAACTAGTCTCTACTGCTGTTTTTAGTGGAGTAAAAAAAGTACAATATTTTCCCTCTGATTCGTAGTGAAGTGGAAGAACAAAGTAGCACAAACTGGAAACACTAAAGTGAAGTGTAACCTCGAAATTACAAATCAAAATTACACTTGCACAAATACAGCTGTTATGCAGTAAATGTTCTTATTACTTTCTTCCACTGATGACTGTGGACCTTCTAAAATCAATATTGACCTGATTGGTTTTAGTTAATAATAAAATTGTGTGTGTGTGTGTGTGTGTGTGTGTGTGTGTGTGTGTGTGTGTGTGTGTGTGTGTGTGTCTCACCAGGATTGAAACGTTTGGCCTTCACCATCCCTGTGTCTATGATATATTTGATCCCAGAGATTGTAACTGACGTCTCAGCAATGTTGGTGGAGAGGATAACCTTCCTACTGCCCTGCACAAAGGGAAAGGGCACAAACATTTTGAGTGAGTGAGTGATATAATAGAGCTTCACAATAACAAGAAAGCAATTCACTATTAAGTGCCTCTTCTCCTTTAAAGAGATCAAAACAATTAACAGAAACCCAGTTGAGAACAGCAGCACGCAGACTTCACATATTCTCTCCTGTTTGTCTGCAGTACTCTGTTTCTCCTGTGTGTCTGTCGTTGCCTTTACCTTGGGAGCCGGCTGGAAGACCCTGAGTTGCTGTGCTGGGGGCAGCGACGCGTACAAAGGGATAACTACCATGGGACCGCAGCCGTCAGGCAGATGCTTGGCGATGTCCCGACACGTTCTCGCCAGAGCCTCGATTTCCTCCTGACCCGTCATGAAGACTAAGATATCATGGGACGGAGGAGCCTCCTGCATGCACACAACAAAATCCTGCTCTGTTCCGGTGTCGCGAAGAATCATCACAGTCCACGAACATGCACCCAGGAAGCTGTTTACTCACAGGTTTGGGTTACTTAAGATATAAAATGAAAGACTTTCTATTGTTTTTGGAGATACAACTGAAAATCTGATTTGTCAGGGTCCCCCTGTATTCAATTTAAATAAAGAAATACATTATATTAGAAGAAGCAAGACATCACTATCCCAGCACGACAAAAGTTTCTGTTTAGTTGAAGGTAAATATTAAAGACTACCTGATGGATCTGGAACACAGACACGAGTGCAGCCTGCAGGTAGTCTGACTGGGGCTGCTTGGTGTAGTAGATCTGAATGGGATGCTGCCTCCCCTCCAGGTACAGTACAGGTGACTTGTTGAAGTACTCAGAGAACAAATCTACATCCATTGTGGCTGACATCACTATGACCTGCATGCGTTACAAAAAAAAAAAAAAAAAAGCGTATGCCTAAGCAGATCAAGACAGCAGACGCAGAAAATGAGCTTACAGGAATTAATGTAGAGCAAGCTTTTTCATCTCTCAGGCAGTGAAGGGATTAGCCCGGTGTTTACTATGAATGTTAAATATCTTACTGGAGCCAGAGCAGCTGCAGCTGTCCTCCTACCTTCAGGGGAATCTTATTAAGTTCTCTGCGCCTGCGTTGAGCAGTCTTAACCACGCCGAACAGCACATCGGTGTGCACGGTGCGCTCATGAGCCTCATCCAAGACCACCACGGTGTAGCGCAGCAGTAAGGGGTCTCCGATGGCCTCGCGCAGCAGCATGCCATCTGTCATGAACTTCAGCTTCGTCTCAGGGGAGGTGACATCCTCGAAACGCACCGTGTAACCAACCTAGGAAGGAGTTTGATTCATTTACCATCAACAGCCCAGTGAGATTTAGCACTGATGTTCTTATATCACCTCATACATCCATCCCAGGACTGTAACATGATGATAGCAGCCAGAAGAATTTATTCTACATATGATTCTATATATTGAACATGTGCCATTTAATTGTACAAAGTTTATTTCAACAATTTACAGCATAGATATGGTGACAATTATATAGTTATATATCATTTGGGGCGGCTGTGGCTCAGGAGAGAGTGGGTCATCCACTAATCAGAAGGTCAGAGGTTCAAGTCCGCATGTCAAGGTGTCCTTGGGCAAGATACTGAACCCATAATTTCAAGTGTGTGTGATGTATGTGCGAGTGGATGGGTGACTGTGGTAAATATTGTAAAGCGCTTTGTGTGGTCTCTACTATAGCACTTATATAGCTTTTATCGAGCCTTTGAACCTGTGTTTTAAAGTAAAGACTAAGCAGTGATGTGGGAAACCTGTCCCCTGTTCATACCAGCTTGCCAAGCTGAGTCCTCTTCTCCTCTGCCACCCTTCCTGCCAGTGAGATGGCAGCGACTCGACGGGGCTGTGTGATGGCAACGATGCCCTGTCGTCCGATGCCGGCCTCATACAGATACTGTGGGATCTGAGTGGTCTTCCCAGAGCCAGTCTCACCTGGTGCATGAGAGGGAATGGACAAGTTAGGTATGGTGCAAGTAACACACTGTAAAGCGCAAAGTGTAAATTATACAAAAATAATTAAGGCATTTAAAGAAGTTTATTATTGTAAATCAGAGAAGTATTCAAAATTATGAACCGAAAACAAGATAGTAATATTAGAGCTGACAAGATAATTGAACTTTAGAGTGGATGTTCCCTTTAACTTGAGTTGCACGGCAGCGGCTAACGCTGTAGCAACATTAGCTAACAGTAGCTGAGAGCACTTTACCAATGAGAATAGCACTGTGCAGCTGTCTCAGTTGGTTCAGCAGCTGAGGTTTCGCCTGGTAGATTGGAAGCTGCTTCCTCTGGACTTCTATCGGAGTGGTTGCATTTCCCTTTCTAGGCAGCAGCATTCCAGGTTTATTCTTATCGAGACGGAAAAAAACTGACCCCGGCTTGAATTTTTTAGCCGGAGGAGGGGCGGGGTCGTGGGGCATGGTCTAGAAAAAGTGACTCTGATAGCAAAACCTTCGCGGCTCTTTCTTCGGGCTCGTTTAACGTCAAAAATAAAGAAAAAAGTTTTCTTCGTGCTCACTGACAGACACGCAAGCGTCACTGCGGATGTTTTGCTCTCTCTGCAAAAACGTCCCCACGTGGTAAAACTCGGCGCACACGTTTGACGTCATTCTTGTGGGTAAAATTTAACCCGAGTCAGGACTGTCAGGTTCACTCACACAAGCCACGAATGTACTGTACATCAGTGCGTTCATGATTTCATTATTTGTCATGGTGCGTAATGTTTCAGTCGCACCCTTTAATTACACTTCACAACAAAAGAATTTTCTGATGTTCCGTTTAACCAATATGATGAATAAAGTATCTATCTCCTGTATCTATCTATCTATCTATCTATCTATCTATCTATCTATCTATCTATCTATCTATCTATCTATCTATCTATCTATATGGAAGATTAAGAATGTCTCAATAAAAACAATTTAAAAAGGAAAAATAAAGTGAAATACAGTACACATTGTGATATGTATTGCCTTTATGTGTGTGCATTTAGTGAGTAATAATTAAAGCTAAACTAAACTTATGTTAAAAGGACACTTAAGCATTTTGTCGTTATGTACTGGAACTGAATGAACTATTTTTCCTTGTGGCATGAATTTTCCATACAACATCAAAATCAAACTGCAAGACTGAAAACAATGTGAAAAGGTGTACTGAATTTGACTGTGCCAATACTTGATGCAAAGCATTCATTTTCACGAGGAGCTGCAAAGGAGTTTTATTTCTTTTTGGAAAGATATGTCAATACAAAAATGAAATACAATCAACCATTCACATAAGTATGAATTTCCAACTTTTAAACAGCATTGACATCAACTTCAAAATTGTAATTGTGACTATGAAACTCTGAAAACTCAGACATATCCAATCCAGAACTGACTGATTCAGAAGTGAGGACAAATATGGACACCTCACAACTACAGTGAGAACTAAGGTGTGTTTTCTGTTTCAGCATTAAGGCAAACACACTCAAAACACAAAAACACCACAAACATGAAAACACATACAAGAAAGAAAGAACAAACTGGACACATGAGCCAAATCCGGAAATGGAACAAAAACAACATACAGGGGATGGGATGCTAAACAGAGTGAAGGGCTTGATTTGAATAAACAGAAATGTAACAGAGGCCTTTGCTTATGTAACCTTTTATTAAATTAAATATGATAATAACTTAGTTTGAATACTTGGTCAGTTTACAATGTCAATTTGCTCTGACATTTACTGAGCTGTATGGACCTGCCCAACAGGCAAGACCTGCCAGTAACTATGTGCTGTCCACCCGCACAGTTCTGTCTCAGCAAGCCCTTTGGTAATTTGCCACTGGCTTTGATGTAAGTGTTGTAATTCCTGGAAGATTAAATTTGTTCTCAGAGTTGAAATATAATACTTTTATGATTATACTGTTGCTACCACTTGTCAAAAGGTAAAGCTGAATGTTTTACTGGTTAGCAGAACAACAGTGCTGCTTCTGTGGTGTTCTAATATGTACAGATATATCACCACATTTGAATAAAAATACATCTTTATAAACAGAAATATTATGTCTATGTTAAAATTTGCTTTATTTTGTGATATATTATTTAAGTCAGTTTAGAAATAAGTGTAGCTGTATGGTCACTGCCTATCCAAATTGTTAGAATTGTTATAATTAATATAGTTATGATTATTACTTTTATAATTATCCCTAATCTAATGGCTAATTTGTCAGTGCACACTACTTTAATCCTCATTGAACCAACTCACAACTCACCTCGGACATGAGCTAATGGCAGCCATGAACATGTCGACAAACTTTCATCTGAACTATTCACTGCACATTCAGACACATGTGTGACCGACTTCCTGCAGCTTTAAGACATTTTGTTTGTACAGCAGGAAACACACACTAATTGTTTTATGTGTTGACAGCTAATTAGAGTTAGTTTGTGAGCTTATAGTTAACACTGAGTTGTTTGATGGAGTATAAGTTAATGCTGATGGATGTCAAGACAGATATCTAGAATTACATGAAGGGCTGAATGTGAGATGGATTCATTTTGCAGTGAATAAGCTTGATGCCACTGAGGAAAGCAGAAAGCCTATAACACTAATGTTCTGAAATGTGTTTGTTGTGTTATCAGATCAGAAGTGACAGAGACAGAAGGCTGTCAGTAGTCCCTGTTCTTATCTGTAGCATTAGTTTACCCTCCTCCGTTAAACCACTCTGTTTACTTCAAGCTAATGCTCGCCAACTTATACTTACACTACTGTTTCTTCTTTCTCTATTTATGTTTTAGAGCATTTTTTGCCTTTATTCTGACAGCGTAAGTGAGAGAGAGACAGGAAAGTCAGGGAGAGCAAAGGGCCATGGGTCGGACTGGAACCCATGCCGCTGCGGTCAGACTACACCTTCATGATACGCGCTCTACCAGGTGAGACACTGGGGCAAATTTTTATTGAGACGTTTTAAATCTTCATTAACTTTTGGGCCCCAATAAAATACACCTTTCATTGTGCTTCTCTAATGTGGCTGGAATTGTGAAATGATAACACATTATGATCACACGGTCACAACATGACTCCTCATAAAATCAATAAAATATGATTTTTAATTGGTGGCCGGCCCTATTAATAAGATAAGATAAGATAAAAACCTTTTCGAATGTTTTCGGTAAACACTGTTCACAACTGAAAGCAACTCATTAATCAAAGTTATTGTATTAGGGAATACATAGAGAAGATAATCCACTGAGATATTGGGATTATTTGATATGAAATGATTAGCTCATATTTGATGGTGGATTTAAAGCTGTCACTGAATTAAAGGTTTTTTGAATTTCCTAACTATTTTAGGTTCTCGAGCCGAACAGAAATAACGGAAGTATTTCGACAGTGAAACTATGTCGTCATCTTCCTCTTTAATTATTAGCAATTAGACATATTATTATCACCCTCTCCTGCCTCCGGTCCAGGTGTCAACAGGTCTGATTTGAAACAACAGCATTAACATCTGGAGCTGGGGGGGGGGGGCGTCCTCAGATAACTCAGTATTAAACCTTCCCTGTAATAATCAGGGCAGGGCATCACACACCTACATTGCATCACATGACTTGCCCTTTCAAGACAGTCATGTGGCAACACACAGGATATTATGCAAATGGTGAACAATGCAGAGGAGTTGTGTCAGTAATGTGGTTGACATGTTGTTCGGTCAGGTGCAACTAATGAAGCAGTGAACAGCGTTTTCGATTTCTCCTTCAGGGGAAATGAAATTCTTTGCCCTTCTTTGGGAGAAAGTCTGAGTCCTGACTGGCTTGTCTGTGTTTACATGTTGCTGTGGATGAACAAAGAGCGTGTTCAGTTTACCCACTGTTAGATCTCATGGCAGCAGTTAAAACAGAGCCCCTTCTTCAAACCTCCGCATGGTGTTTTACTAATGGTGTTTTTTTGTTCAGTATGTTTTTGCTTGTGACACTCTGTAGTGCTCGTCCGCCACTGATCACCGTTTCCGTGCATTTTGTAATTATTTGATGTTCCTTTTTTTCCCTCCATGTAGTTCACCCAACAATGCAGTCACCTCAGTAACCCTCCGGTTCTTCAATACAGATTAGAAATCCTCTTTTAGACCTAATCAGTGACAGTCATGGACAACCTGCCAGTCTGATGCTGCATGGGAATAAATTAAGATAATCTCCAATTTATTTGCTTCATCATTGCATCTATCCATCTCTGTCAACATCAACTAACTCATCAACCTGAGACTTAAATTCACCACTTTGGTCCAGGCTAAAATATCTCCACTCAATCTGATGGATTTCAAATCTCCACACTAATGACTAATGGCATGCCCATCAGCCTCAGCCTGCATTTGATCTTTATAGTGCTAATTTGCAAATGTTGGTATTCTCATCTAGGACAGTGAATATGGTTTCACAGCCCCTCAGAGCTGCTAGTATGGCTGTAGACTCTGACACAGAAAGTGTTCATTGAATTCGCCCATATAGCAGCGTCGGTCTGCTGTTGTTAAAGTGCGTAAATGATGCGTAGATGTTTCCACTACATCAGCCTTGTGCCCTAAATCATGCACAATCAAATGAAGAAAGAAGTGTGCCTGGCATGTGCACTACTTTTTCTTTTTTTTTTTACAGCTGATAGTGATGGCAATAAATGACAATGATTAGTAAATGTGTGAAATCCTAATTTACTGCTCACAATAGAGTAGCAGTGAATCATTGAACGAGAAAGTGATTTCAGATTTTTGGTTCCTTGCTATAATCCTAATAAAATCTATGCATGGCCATTTTGTGACAGGTTCCAATGTATATTCCTCTGTCTCTCTCTCTCTCTTGGAATGGGCTTAACCAGATTTAGATTTGGATTTTAAACACGATTCCAAAATAAGATGTTCCGTTCCCTAATCTCTGGAGATTAGAAAGCGCTGCACACAAGTGAGAAAAACATTTTTGCAGACGGAAAAAACCTTTTATGTAATATTCTTAATATATCAACTTATTCATACAGAAATGAAATGGTTCACTTTTATTATAATTAGCCGTTTAGGTTCGCCACTTCCTCTCCTCCGAGAGTGAAGATTAGAAATGCAAAGCACCTCACAGTATATGAAAGGGGAGAGTGAATTGTTGAGTGGGGTGAGAAATTTAAACTGTGCCCCCTCCACAAAAAAATGACGATAAAACATAAGAAGGCTTAATGTCTGCAAATGGTGACACGAGAGTAGGCAAACAAGCTGAACTGAGGCATAAGCACTGTGTGTTTATGTTGAGCTTATGTGCCTTCTATCTCTGCCTTGCAAGCAGGAAGAGAGTGTCAGTGGAGACGATAAGGTTTGATTGCGCCCACACACACACGCACACACACACACACACACACACAGAGGAAGGTCCAGTGCTTGTGTGGCAGCTGTTGAGCTATTTGAACTTGCAACCAAGTCAAGAGTGAGTTCCAAAAAATGTCCCAATGTGGTGTATGAGAAAAGAGATGAGAGAGGTGCAATGAAAAGTCAGAGGCTGCAGTGAAGAGGTGAATGGGAAGGTGCACAAATGACCCTGTGCAGAGAGAGAGAGAGAGAGAGAGAGAGAGGGAGAGAGAGAGAGAAAGAGTCAGAGGGAGGGAGAGAGGGAGGGAGAGAGATAAAGCAGCGGGGGGAAGGAGGAAGTCCAACACTTCAGGACTTCTCATGAAAGGCTTCAGACGTCACTTATGAGAGGAGGCAGAGGATCCTCGCCACCAGTGAGGAACGAGGCAGAGGCGACCAGGGGGAGAAGAGGAACTGGAGTGTGGGTGCTTATATGCGAGCGGGGTGAAGAGAGAGACCCTCCTCTCTGTGGGTCAGCCGGTGAGAGAAGATGAAGAGCCAAATCACCAACGCCCTCTCCGACTTCTTCTTTGAGTATGAGACCCCGCGCCAGGTGCTGGTGAGGAACAGGAGGGTGGGAGTGGTGTGCCGTCTGATCCAGCTGGGGGTCCTGGCTTACATCATCGGGTAAGACCAACACATACACCTTCTCTTTTAGTTTAGTTTTGGTTTGTTTTTCCGTTCAGGGGCAACAGGCAGATTTGTTTGTGGAGAGGATTTACATGTTCCAGCTTGTTTGATGCAGGCGTGACCTCTCAGAGCGACCCTGCAGATTCCAGCAACTTCTGGCTGGGTTGTTCACAGTGACATAACCCTGATATCTTCATTTTGCACTGCATTATAAAAACATTAGAAAATTTAAATCTTATTTGACTTTTTGATCAGGATACAGTAACTTTCCAGGTGCTGTTGCACAGCAAATAGACACTGCAAAAAAAGTATTGACTGATTGAGTGATGGCAGAATCATTTTTATCATCTGCCCTTCTCAAGTCGAGACAAAAAAGCAGCATGCTTGTTAGCTTACGTACAATGACTCACTCACTCACACCGGACACTCTCTACCTCCACACACTTGCTTTGACATGTTGGAGTCATTCACTGGAAAGTCACTCCCCGAGAGGGAGGGATATTTTATCTCACTTCAGAGCACTATGTTTTGTTTTTTTTTTTTGTTCATTTGAGATCACTCATATGGGCTGTTTGTGCATGTGTATAAGTGTGTGTGTGTGTGTGTGTGTGTGTGTGTGTGTGTGTGTGTGTGTGTTTAGTTTTTTCTGTCTCTGCACCTCTGAGCAGCAGAACCTGAGGAGCTGTGTGTGATGAACACGCTGAGGCATATGCTAACACAGATAACAATCAACTGCTGCCCAATTCCCTGCCAAACAGCGCACAGACATGTTACCTTCTGCTGCTGATGTTGATGGTGAACAAAGAAAAGACAAATTTAAGAACATCTTTTCTTGCTAATGGCAAGGTTATGTTTATAAAAAAGGAAACAGCCTGCTGATTTAAACTGATTTGAAATGTTGGTTTCTCTTTGTGGTCAATGGCGCTTTAATCTCGACAATCTCCAGAGTCAGAAAAAGTTTGTTATGATAATTTCTTTAATTTTAAACCTTGAAAGTCTTTTCTGCTGCGATAACTGTGACACATCTTTCTTAGTCGGAACTGCGCACTGATAAAAAAAAAAAAGAAGAAAGGGAAGAGTGTTTTCGACTGTTTCGGCCTCTCTTGGTATCAAGGCATGACATGTGCATGACAGAGCTGCCTCCCCTGCATCCTGACCCCCCATCACCTGCCTCTTTCAGCCATCAGGCCACATTAAGGTTGGGCAGTGATGGGCATGACTGGAGATGTGATTATAAAACTGTCCAGATTCTCCTCTTTGGGATTGAGGCAGCAGGCTGTCAGGTGGGAGCAGCACTCAGGCTACGTCCCTGAAGGCACCGAACCAGTGAACCAGTGAATCACTCGCTGTCTTGTCAGGAATTTTGCATTTCATTTTAGATTCATTTTATGCTTCTATTTTTGTGCGTTCACTCTCTCAGCATTTTCCTTCCTTGACCAACCACTCTGCATGAATTCAAAAAAAGGAATTGCACATGAATGGTTTTGAAAATATATGATATACCAATTGAAAGTAAATCTCTTAATAAAGAAAAAAAGCAAAGACTAATTTAATAGAGATCGCAACTCTTCTTTCACTTGGTTCCCATCTTGTCACTCTTAAGTTAACAAAGCTGCCAGTTCACTGTTTGCGTTTCACAGTGATTAGCTGGAGGTTGATTTTTGTCATTTTAATTTGTGTTCACAAAACGAACACTAATCTCAGCGCCACAATATGGTGGAAAGAAAAAGCCCCCCACACATCGAGAAGCCTCCTCCCTGCCTCCCCATTCTCCCTCCGTCAGAGCAGATACAGATCTCACTTAGACCGCTGTTTCTGAACATCCCTCCATTATTTCATGCTCATGGGTTTCTTTATTCTGTTAATGTGCTCTATTTTTCTCCACTTCCCCTTCAGTGTAAGCTCCAACTTACATAATTTGATTTTCTCAACTGATAGAAGTTGGGGCTTTTAGCTCATTGTGCACCTTATTTTCTTCTGCAGTTTGAACGACGTCTCTGTTCAGTGTGTTTGCTGTAAGGTGCTTTCATTGTGCGCGGATAAATGAACGTGTGCTGCAACGCATGCCGTCCTGTAGGCCCTCTGCCATGGGATAATTGCTTTTCACACCCTACAGTATATTAAATATTCCTGTGTGCGTGTGTGTGTGTGTGTGTGTGTGTGTGTGTGTGTGTGTACATACATTATCTGTCCAGTGCATACCAGCTGTTACCCATACCTCCTGGCCACGCACACAGATTGAGTAACACAATGAGAAGCTTCACTCTGCAGAAATCAAAAAGCACCCGACTCTGAAGCCGGTTTCTGCTTGATGGGAATCCTTTCATGTGATGAAGGATTCAGGCACTTGCTCTTAATTGAGTCAACTCGACAGTACTGCAGTTTTTCACCAGAACAAAACCGGACTATTTGACATTTTGGTATATGAAGCAATGTCTTAAAAGAAGAAGTTGTGAAGCAGGTCTTAAACGTCTTTGTAGATTATCAGCACCAGTGGAAGAAATACTCAGATCCTTTACTTCAGTAAACATACCAATACAACAATGACAAAGTCCAAGCAAAATTATAAAAGTACAAATATACACGAAGGTGCGAATACAGACGCATTAATGTGTAAGCCCTGTGTAACGCACTTTATACACTGTTACAGTTTAGCCTAATGGTTCCCAATTTAAGGGTTGGGCCCCTCTAAGGGTCACAAGATTAATCTGAGGGGTCGTGAGTTGATGAATGGGGCAGGAATGAGGGAAAACCAAGCTGATATTCAGATTTCTTGAAATAACTATCTGGTGGTCTGTGCTATCATCTGTGACATCACATATATTTCTACTTGATCTATTTTCACTTGCTTAACAGACATGTAAGTTTAATGCAATCATTGGTTGCCACCCATTCAAGTTGCCACCTTGAAAAAACATTGTAAATGCCTGTACTCTGAGATTCAATATGTCCAATTTGTCCTAGTGATGATGAAGTACAACATCATGGTGGTTGCGCAACCACAATCACACGCACGTGTCCCTCTGAGGTATTGCTGCTGGTATGTGGGGATAGCTGTGCAAAATGTCAGCATCACCCATATACATGCCCTTGCCTGTGGGGTTGGACGCTTGGCTCGGGTGGAGCGGGAGTCTGAGGTGCTGACAGGCTTGACAGGATGCTTTGTGTGTCCCGTACAGGTGGGTTTTCATCTACGAGAAAGGCTACCAGTCCACAGACACAGCGGTGAGCTCCGTCTTCACCAAAATGAAAGGTGTGGGCTACACCAACGTGAACGGAAGCGAAAGAGTCTGGGACGTGGCCGACTACGTCTTCCCCCCGCAGGTTGGTGACTGGTTGGCTGAAGCCTTTCGCGCATGCAGGAACATTTAGTGTGTGCTGATCACTTGGCTCCTAATTTTCAAGCGTATGTTTTGCACCTGGTACAAATCACTGACCATTGCTGGGATTTAAGTAAATCTGGGGCAGAGTCAGATGTCACGAGGTCAACATCCACAGTCCGTGATTCAAACTGTCAGAGCAATTAAACGTCAGGCTGAGTGAGACGAGTGACGTCAAGATTCTGACAAAGCTCAAGGTTTGGTCACACTTTTAAAACGTACGTGACCGCGTCAGCTTGATTTTATGTTAGATCCAGTCACTGAGGTAACAATGAATGGTGCACACACAGGTTGAAGAGTTACTGTAGGTTATAACCCTGATGATAATATGGCTTTGTCAACATCAAGGTGTCCCTGTGCTTTCTTGTAAAGAAGTCAGCAAACAGTCTTTCAAAAGGGACTCTGGTCAAATATATTTCTTTGTTTGCCTAAAATGTTGCTGGCTCCTGTTATCTGTGGGAAAGAAATAAAGAATACACAATGAAGGTTTGTAATGTTTGCTTTGAGGTGTAGGCGTGGGCCTTATTTAATTCGGAGTGGAATAAGCTCATAGTTAGGGATGATAAACCAACCAAGATGAAAAGAACACTTTGATATAATGAGTCACACTTTGATCAGGTAGGTATCTTTATTCTGAAATTCATCCCTTTGTCTGTGAAAACTCCACAGAAGGTCGTTGTTGTACTCGAGTTTATCACTTTAATGGATGTTTTCCTGTAGTAATGATTTATTTTGAGAGAACTTAAACCTAATAGTCAATATTTGATGTTCTGAATTTGGCCTGTGTGACCATAAACACCAAAGCAGCATGTTGTTGTAGAGGATCCTGTTTCCTGCTTAACAATATCAATGATATCAACTTCAGTTTCACAACAGCTTGAGCGCATAAAAAAAATGTGTGAAAAGACAATAAAATGCTAATTTTCCCAGGGCGGCATAAAATTGATGCAAAGATACTAGTGAGATAAAGGGAAAAAAGGAAACTGTGTTCAGTCAGAGGATGAGACCGAGACACACAGACGCACTACAACAGATGGTCAGTGCATCTATTGCTACCTTACAGCTAACATCTGTACAGTTGGTACACAGCTGTAGGACAACACAGACTGCACCAACACTTTGTTCTCCGTGTGAAAACCTTTTAAAAACTCACAAATGAACGCGTTACGACTTGTTTTGTCCAGGAAGACCTTCAGCCAAGGAGTAGTCCAGTAACACACAACTTGTTTTGATGCTCTGGGTTTTGAACTGATTAAGATATGACATAGAGCAAACGCTTCTTTAGTATTTACATTGCGGCAGAGTCTCGAGAACACTGATATTCATCTTGTGGCTGTGTCAAGTATGAAGCTGTAGGCAGCAACCAGTTAGCTGACCTTAGCACAAAGACTGGAAACGGGGAAGCAGCTCACCTAGCTCTGTTCTAAGGAGATAAAACATGTTAATTAGTGAGCTTTTAGAGGTGGTGCTAGGTAGATAATTAGCTAGACCACAACAGTGGGGTCAGCCCAATAGTCGTGAATATCTGAGACTGTATGACTGACTGAGTGATCACAGTTCGACCATTGGTCAGCTGAACACCACGTGACTGAGTTGGCGTTTTCCCATTGGCTGTTGCTCTGTCGAAATGCCATCTATTCTAGTTTCTATTAGGGGGTGTTTACAACCTGCAGTTTAGCAATATTTGCACATTTGTCACTAAATTTAGAGACTTTCTAAAAAATAAAAAAAAAATCCAGCGACAAATGTAGCAACGTCTTGGACAAACATTGGCGCCAGTAACGCCCTCTCTCACTGTGTCTGCTCTCGTCAAAGAGTGGCAGAGAGGCGGAGCTGCAGTGCGTCACCCAGACGGAGAATGTGAGAGACAAAATAAGAATTATAATCTGTTGCCTCTAATGTTTTCTCTTTTTTTTTCTGGAGTGAACATTTTTCAAATAAATATATCTAAACTCACAGCACACCTCTTTAATTTATGTCCGTATCTATGTATTCCTGTGTGTGGTGATTTTGCTGGACGTTACTGTTTATGAAATCAGGAAGAGCAGCAGCAGCAGCAGCAGCAGCAGCAGCAGCAGCAGCAGTCTTAATGAGCTGCGTTTCGGTCATTATTTCACACTTGTTCTGTTGTCTGACAACAGGAGCAGAGAACATGTCAGTGAGAACAGCTTTAATGTGAATTCAACTGCATTAAAACACTGAATATGTGAGCACAGAGAGGAGGAGAGGAGCAAACAGATAGAAGCTGAAACCCGCTGACACAAGGCAGCATGCTAATAGAAAGCAATGATGTCAGTTGTTTACCACGGTTTCACAACAGCTTTCACCTACATCCTCAATTTTGCACATTGACCACACACAGTCCAGCCATATGTTTAGACCTGGTCTTGTTTTCCCTTCAGACAGAGCCAGGCTACCAGTCTTTATGCTAAGCTAACAGCCTCCAGGCTTTAGGTCAAAGCATACAGATACCATCAACCTTCTTATCTACAGCTCAAGAAAGCCAAAAAAAGAAAAAAAAAAATCCCAAAATAAACTATTGCTTAAAGTTGAATACTCTGGGGGATGAAAAAGTATTTGTTTAGATGTGTCTATAATATCATCTGGGCCACCAGTGGGAAACAGCTGATTCATGTTCTACAGGCTGCCTACAATAAACTTTGCATGTTGTATAATAACTACTGCATTGTGTCATTTTATGGTATAAATACATCTGAATATGTAAAATGTTCTTTCTTTTACCACAGGGGGACTCATCCTTTGTGGTGATGACAAACTACATTATAACTGAAGGGCAGAGTATGGGAAAATGTCCAGAGGTATGTGAAAGTGCTCCCACATATTTTGTTTTCATCTCTCTTTCCCGCTGTTTTTTTTTTTTTTCTTCCTCTCTGTTTACTCCCTCTCTGACTGATACACTTCCATAAACAGTAAAAACAAAACGGAAACAGCGTCTCATTCCGAGACTGTTTGTGTAATTGGGTAATTGTGTAGCTGTGAAATTGCCGAAAAAGTCTTTTTAAACTTAATGGCTTCAAGATGAGACAAACTGCGGTTTCTGCTTGCTGCAGAATATGAAAGTAAATGCAAAACTTTCTTCTCACATTGTTGTGTTGTATTCATGTTTAAAATGTTCTGGTTTCTTCACATCCTCATTCCTATAGTTGTGTACACACACGCTGACAGTGTTCTCTTCTTCACGATACAGCTCAAAGGGAAGCACAACTGCAGCTCACATGCCGACTGTGAAGGAGGGAGTTTCAAACGTACGGGACATGGTAAATCCTGACGGCCTGACAGTGTGTGATCTCAGCAGTCCTCACTGAGTAACCGTCTGTCTGCCTGCGGCCGAACTCGGATCAGTCCAGATCTCTGGATTTTCATTATCGTGCTTTGTTTCGCGAGGGGCCGAAAGCCTGTCTTAAACTTCTTAAAGCCAGTGACAGGGCTGCGATGTACAGAGGGAGGTAGAGGATCATGTCAGGTTGTGGTTATGGAGCAGTGTATTTGCTAAATGGGTTGTGGCTCACACGCACAAGGTAGAAACTAAAATACACCAGATCTGACGCATCGCTATCGCTGCTAAAGTAAACACCTCATACGTAATTCAGACATTGCTCTTGTCCATCACCGAGAAAAAAATGGATTAAAATCAACAATGTAAGTCTTAGCAGCCAAACACATTGTGTGTGCGTGCGTGAGTGTGTGTTGTATTACGGCTTGTTGATCAGTGATGCGTGCAAGCACAACCCTGCCTTAAGCAAGTAGACATGTGCATGTATACGTATAAACACACGCACAGTTGTTACATTAACTTGTGAGTATGAGCTCACACAATATAAGCAAACAGAGACATTAAAATCAAATAACCTTCCAGACAAGAGCCTTTTTTTAATAGGTCCAAACATAAATACATACATACAGTACAGACAGCGAGTTCAAAGAGCACTTACATAAATTTATTGTCCTCCATCTGTCCCACGGTTAAATCCAGAGCCTTTCAAGTCCTCTGTGTCTCACATCACCTTCAATAAGACCAGTGTCAGCCAAAGCTTTAGATCTGTCTGTTTTAGACCAGTCAAATTCACCTTGAGGTGCCAGTGTCCCTTTAGAGGCGACATACTGTCTCTGTGCTTGTAGACAAGTAAACATAGGAGGGGGGCCCTGTAGCTAAACACAGTGGTGGGCGCTGGTGAAAGGTCAGAGACCGAAGCAGGGTGACCAAGCGCCTGCTGGAGAAGTGTCTGTGAACACATCCAGCACATGATGAGAGAGACTGATACCAACAAACTAATCACGTGGAGCGAAGTTATATATGTTAGGATCAGGGCAAGATAAAGGAAACAGCCATGTCAGCGTTTGCTTTGCCTGACTTTTCGCTTGCTGCTTGCGATGCTAATTCAAGATAAGATGGAGAGTGGAGGCGGACGATGTTTAGAATTGCTTTAATGTTAAAGCCTATGCCTTTTTTTTTTTCTTGCTGCTTTGCTTGAAACACATTTGCTTCAGTTTCAGTTTGGTGTCAATGATAAACTCCAGTGTGTTTCTGTTTCAAGGGGAAATGACGGGAGTCTGTGTGAATGAGACAAAGACCTGCGAGGTGTTGGCCTGGTGCCCTGTGGAGGACGATCACAACATACCAGAGTATGTGGAGACACTGAATTATTCATACTGCACGCTGGTACTGATTTGTAATGCACGTGATGACTGAAATTTGCAGCAATTCTGTGCCATTTGTGGGATTAAATAATCGTCTGTACAGGACAAACATAATTTGTGATGATTTATGCTGAATACTTGTATGAAGCTCCTCAACATAAAGTGTTTGATTCTTTTCTATTTTTCCGTTCCAGCCCTCCTCTGCTGATGTCTGCAGAGAACTACACTCTGTTCATCAAAAACTCTGTAACCTTCCCCTTATTTAAAGTCACAAGGTGATGGTCCTCATTCATGTCAAACTACATTTACTTCAGCAGGTGCGACAGATAGGTGGATAATAATTAATGAAACCCTTTTTAAACTCATGTTGTTGGTAAAAGCAAGTTTTAAATGAAATAGAAAGAACCTGATCTTTTATAAATAACTAAAACCTCTTTTTAAAATCCACTTCAGTCATGCTGTAGATGAGGGTGAAGGATGAAAGAGGACATCATGCCTTCAAGTGAAGAAAGCAGTGACTCCCAAATGGTGTCAGTCAACAGTATTTTTGGAGACAGCGTAGCGTCGCTTCAAGCTAAAAAAAAATATGCAAGCAAGAACAATGTTTTCCTGGACTTCTCTCTCTCTCTCTCTCTAACATCCAGTCGTGTTTTCAGGAGTAATCTGGTGGAGGGTATTGATGCCAGATACATCAGCAAATGCCTCCACGATCCAAAGGAAGCTCCACTGTGTCCAATATTCAGACTGGGAGACATAGTTAAAGAGTCTGGCTTTAATTTTGAAACAATAGCCCGAGAGGTAAGTTTCATCTTTACTCCACACTGAATGGATAGGAACGACTTCCAGGTGGATTGGAAGCAGATTTTCTATCTTTCTATTGTTAGCGTTTTGTTTCTCATGTGGTATTGGAGACCTGTATGACATAATAATGCGCTCGTATCTTGACAGGGAGGGGCCATTGGCATTGTGGTCGACTGGACATGTAACTTTGATGTGGATGTAAAACACTGTAAACCGACGTACAACTTCCACGGTCTGTATGGAAACCCAGCGGAGACAGACAAAGCCAGAGCATCAGTGGGATACAACTTCAGGTGTGAGAATAAAATGGACACGGACTCAGGTGGACTCGGCACGAAAAGGCCGTGTTCTTGGTCCTGACTGTGGTGCTTGAGCAATAGTTTGACGTTTGGAGAAAGGAGTTCAGCTGAGAGTGACATGAGGAGATTGATACAATTTGCATGGCTGTGCTTTTTAAGAGGGAAGCTGGAGTCAGCAGCTGGTTAGCTTAGCTTAGCTTAGTGTAAAGAATGGAAATAGCTCTCCTAGCTCTGCTTTAAGGGACATTATAACACAGCATAAAACCACAAAGTGTTGTTCTTCTCTTCACTTTAATTTTTTTTTCCCGAGTGACTTAAATCAAATGTAATATATTAGTTAGTGAGCTTCAGAGGAGCTGGTAGGGAGACTTTGTTACCTTTGGATAAGCCACGCTAGCTGTTTCTCTTTCTATCTTAAGCTAAGCTAACAGTGGCTGTAGCTTCATGGTCAACGACTAACTGTTTTATACCGTCTAGCTCTTCCTCTTGGCAAGAAAGCATATTAACCAAAGAGAAGTTTTTTTAAACACAGGTTTGATGCTCTGTCACCATTTTGTTTAGTCTTGTCTCTTGGTGATGGGAATTTCTACTTTCATGTCCATATACTGTCTCCATATGCAGTAGCCTGTGTACTATTTTTTGCTTGCTTCATTTGAGTTTGCGCGGAGTGCAGACAGCCTGAAGTTTATAATCTTTCCTCGCCCTGAGTCAAGCAGCTCAACATGGCGCTGCGTTTCTGAGCACAGACTGATGTCTTTGTTCACACATACTCCGGGCATCGTCATTATCAGGCTATTATTTATATTATGACAGTGCTAATTGTTCACTCTAATTGCATGGGTAATACCGTGCTGTCCTTTATTTATTCTTCTCTAATTGGATGATTCAGGAGGAGGACGTGAAACCTTTCATTTGTTCTGGTTAAATTCTAAAGACTTAAAAGCCCTGATGTTTTACAATAGTTTATTATATGGGAAATGAGTGTTATTGTGCAGGTTCCTAAAAATTATAATCTCAAATGGATGGTGGGAATATGTGGAAATGCTTTGTCATAAATATTCTGTGACATACTTTAGGTATGCGAAGCATTATCTGGAGGACAAAGTCCCAAAAAGAACTCTTCTCAAAGTGTTTGGGATTAGAATCGATATCATTGTGCAATCTCTGGTAAGTTTGAATATTTTTCATTCATATTCATGACTTGAGAATTAGGGAGAAAAAGCTTTTGAATAATTGGCCCTCTGTCCTTCACAGGCAAGAAAGTTTGACATCATCCCAACACTGACAGCTATAGGCTCTGGAGTGGGCATTTTTGGAGTGGTATGTTGTAGCCTTACTCATACCTGCAATAATTATTTATTGTCTGAGGAATACTTTGCATGCAAACTAATATAATTCTACTTTCTTCAAATAATCCTTCAGGCCACTGTAGTGTGTGACTTGGTGCTGCTGTATTTGCTGCCAAAAAGAGAATTTTACAAGAACATGAAATTCAAATATACAGATACACAAGTACAGGTAAGATCTATTCTGCATAAAACCTGATTATCACATGTAAACTGTGCTGTAATCAGTCTGAACACAAGATGGAAGCAGAGAGGCGTTTTACAAAGGGAGTCCAGACCGACACAGAGCAGACATCGGGGAAAGTTTTTAGCTGTCTAATTCCCTATCTGAACATCTTTTGGGTGGATTTCAGTTGCTGTGAAGGAGTGCTACACACCAGAATTAGAAACCACGCTAGTGCACAAGAACAGTAAACTTTCAACAACTATCAGATTAATGCTGTGTTTATGCCCATAACATCCATGCACACTGCAGAACCATGGTACAGTGCAGCCATTTATCTGATAGAAGATGAAATCTCCTCCTATCTCACCCAGACAGTTTCCCTCTGTAACTGAACCAGGCAGAACATTTTGTATTTACAGCATGACAGCGAGTCGCTCGGTTTAGACACAAGTGTCTATTACACCCTTGAAGCAAATCCAAGACAAGTCCGAGGCACTGACCTGTCCAACGTGAGTGCATGTAGAAGTCCAGACAGTGGAGTTTTTTTTTTTTGTCATGTGATGATGAAGCAAATCCTTTGGCACATTACCTGAGATGCCTAAATGTCCTGTGGCTTTGACTTTTATTTTACAGGATCCTGATTCAGAGGCAGGTAGCATAGAGACTGATGTATCTAAAGTAAGATTTTTTTTTTTTGGATTAATAAATAAAGCCTATTTGCTTTTACTTATGTGGTGGCTGATCTGTTCATCTGCTATTCTTGTGTAGAAGTGACCTGGGGACAAACTTTCAAGCCCATGGCCCATAGCCATGCTGATTTGAAGCTGTACTGCGTGGGAGCCCTTCACTAGATCCTGCAAGACAAGACAAGACAAGACAACACACACACACACACACACACACACACACACACACACACACACACCCACACACACACACACACACACACCCACACACACACACACACACACACCCACACACACACACACACACACACACACACACTGTAAATGGGCTGAAAAGGGACCAGGCCTGGAAAGGACAGTGTCAAATGACATTGCTCTCCGTGCCCTCTATTTCTTTTTTTGATCTCCAGCAGCATCTTCTACCAACAACATCCTCCCACTCTTTAAAACCACCCCGAGTGACTGTGACTCTTGCTATTGATGGCGTAGCTCAGACGTATGTGTACTCTTTTGGGTGTAGCTCGGTTTGCTTTTAGTTCGTGCACTCTGGGTGTAACCTCCACCTCTTAACTGTTTCCATATCTGTGCGGGTGAAAGAACAATTTCTGGCCCTTGGGTGCTCTTGTGTGTACACAACCCATCCGTAAGTCATCCATTACCTCTGTCACTGTCTTTGTCACAGCAAGATATACACACATCACGTGTGGATGTACCACAACTGTCAGAGTGATTCATCCCTTGTGTGCACCTTGTGATCGACAACTGAGTTCAATAAAAAATGTACAGTGATATTCCTGCTTGTTCTTTTGTCTCACAGTGCGAGCAAAGAGGAACACAGACAAAATATCAAAAAGGATTCAAATTTTTTTTTTTTTTTATTGTCTGATTATGTGTAGGTGTACAAAAAGCATGCAAAAAATAGCTTCTTTATATATATTGGTACATATTTACATTGTAACAACTGCATTCCATAGGGACGTGCCATGCGTCTGTTTTCATATGAGCGACTTATGCAGGCGAGTGAGTACATTCAGAGAAATGCACAGGACGGCACGAGACTGACGTCCAGAAACACAGAGACAGCAGGCATCTTCAACACACACGTCAGGACAGTCACAGAAGACACAGCAGCGGTTCCAATCGTCCCTGACTTCGTATTATCTACAGACTCGCCTTCCCACAGTCCTGCTCCCATTTCCTCCTTTGGATATAATAATGACCTGAAATCATGACAAATTAGTCCTGTCACTCACTTCCTGTGCTGCAACTGGAAACCATTAATGTTTCTTCTGTGTTTCACTGCTGTAACTAAGCACAAAGCTGGAAAGATTTTTGAGTCTGCAACCTCTGCCAAATCCACTATGTTTTATACACCTGTATTCTGCATTGAGAGCAAACAGAGATGGAAAATTATGAGTTTTGGAGAGCAGCCAAAATGTGTAAGTTTTAGGATTCTCTACAAGGATAACCTGTGCTGTTTCAAAAGAATCATATATGTGACCACTAAGTTATACCCATTTAAAATGAATTAATCATGTGCTTGAAATTTAGCAGGCTCAATCAGCTGATTGAAAGGGTGTGCGCAGAAGTCAACTGCTTCAAGTGTTCAAGATGTAAACCTATAAAAAACAAACAAAAAAAGTAAAAAGTGTCCCAGGTTCAATCAGATATGTTACGTTGAAATTTAGTGAGGACTGGCAAAAAAAAAATGTATGAAATTCTTTTGTCTCTAGGTGGAAATGGGCGTGGCCTACATGGATCTATTGACAAATGCTGGACTAAGTTCAGGAATTACAAATGAAAAAACAAAAAATAAATAAATAAATAAAAATGCTTTATAGATGGCGGTGGATTCTGCACCAGTTCTCCATTCGCCCCAAAATGTAATTCATCATCTCTGAGGTAATAATTAATATGAAATAGCTTTTAAATAACCAGTTGGCTGGGTGCATGAAAAGAGGGTCCAAGCTGCTCCTGTGCTCTGATGAGATTTACAGTGTCTTAGCCTTATGCATCATTTCAGCAGTAAAACCCAGAGCTCCGCTGCCCCAGTCAGACACACACACACACACACACACACACACACACACACACACACACACACAATTCTGTCATCATATAGATATGCACAACGAAAACAGCTGTTCAAAACCAATCCTGTTGCTGCAGTTACAGCATTTTAACACAGACAGGAGAATAAGTTACTGGAAAAATGGAAACATATTTTGAGTTTCATAAGTAAAAATTCTCAAAAAACCACGCGGCAATGCTGTGACATGCAGATCGATAGCAAAGAGCAATGCCTCAAAAAAGCACAGGAGATCGTGAGAACATACCGATACACAGTAAATGTGGTCTTTTACAGGCGAACCACAGTTTTTCTCTTGATCATAAACTGTACAGTGCGTCATGGCTGGCAGGTATCAGTAGTGTTACATGTAATCACAATAATTTCAATATGTATCTGTAAGTGGAAAAGTGCAAATATTTAAATACAAGTAATGTTTGAGCTTAACTTTCAACAACTAAAACACGCGCACGAGGATGATTGGCCCGCGTGCATCCGACAGCAGGGGAACGAGCCAATAATGCACTGATGATTAAGACGACAACAATATTGCACCTCTGTCACTGACAAAACGTCTGTGCAGACACACACATGTAAAGCTGGCGACACCTAGGGTAAAAATGAATTCCTATAAGAACGAGTGTTACACCTTCAAAGCAAATAAAAATACAACACAACGTTTCAGACTTCATACTTTTTGGTTCGATCAGCCCTTCACTGAAGGTTACTCTGCAAACAGACAGGTGTACTTCACCTTACATCACCCTCATCACAGAGAAAACAAACACAAGCGTCACATCATCACATTAATGTCCACAACCCTTCACTTTAAACTGCACACTAAGACATTTTTAGACAGTTAGACAAAGATTTTCACGTATCTATTTTACCGACTGAATAATGCAATTAAAAACAGATATAAAGATCTTCATTCTCCCGCGTGATAACAAATGATTTCGATGCAATGATGCCCCCGCCTCTGTGAACATGTACAGCCCTAAACACAGAGGCTCAGTAGCAACGTGTGAAATGTTTTCCCACCAATCCATCTTCAGTCAGAGTCCTTCACTGAGACGGCACTGAAGTGGATGGGGATCTGTTGTTGTTGTTGTTGTTGTTGTTGTTTGTTGTTTGTTGTTTGTTGTTGTTTGTTGTTTGTTGGCAGCATGAGCCTAATCGTGATATTAAAATGCTCCTTTTCACTGCGGTTCAAGCGATGTGAGCGCTCTGCCCGCCAGCACGCTTCATTCAGATCAGGAGGAGAAAGACTCCGGAGTTATATAAACCTTTATCTGAGGCAGAGCTGCTGCGGAGGCACAAATGTTCTCATTGAGTTGAGTCGGCGGAAACAAAACAACCCACAGATTTTTTTTTTTTTTTTTAAGTTAGCCAACCACTTTGAATGGCAGACAAAGGACTCATATCTTACAAAATGTTCATTCATTCTTTTTTATTCGTCCTTAATCCCAACATTACTTTGCATGGCTCGTCAGCCAAGGCGAACTGATTGAGGACTGTGCAAAAAGGACTCAGGTGAGGAGGGGGTTACATTTTAAAACTGCATGACTTTCTGCACCATTAACATTTTATTTGGACTCTAACCTTAACTAAAAATATGTTCCCTACTGGGTTGGTGCAACTAGTTCAACAATTAATAACTAAAAAAAAAGGCAAAGCATGAAGAATGATAATGAATGAATTAAGGATAATGTAATGTCAATTTCAACCTTTATATATATGAATTAGCAATTTTTAAATTTAGCACAAAGATAATCAGCTAATTTTATATTAGGCATTTCATTTTTTTTCCTTTGTTTTTGTTGGAAAAAAAAAAAAAATTGTCCTTTGCACATGATGACGAACACCTGTATGACCCACTGTGTGAACTCATCTTTTTCTTTTTCTTTTTTTTTTTTTTAAAATTGGGATTGATTTAAATGAATCTTGAAATATAATTTTGGGTTATTAAAAATAAAATGTCAAAGTCTCAAAAAAGTCTGACTACCCTCCCCTCAACAAAAAGAAAACACGTGTAACCCCTCCCCCCTTTCTGACCTCCTCTCCCATCCTAATATTTTGTGTAGAGTCCCTTTGCCGTTGCACAACTTGATTCAATTTCATCTGCAAGAATGATCACTGATGTTTAACTTGGACAATGAGATTATTTATGCCTTTAAATCAGCTCTGCATCCATGAATGTTACTTAACAACGTCTAATGTGGCATAGACCGAAATGTGGACAATCTGAGCGGTTTACAGTCCTTTTTTCAGTCTGTTCACACTCGCCATCAAACAACATTCACTTTCAAATGCTCCATTTTCTGTCACAATGACCGAAACAGTACGATATGGAAGCAAAGTGACAGCGTTAGAGAACCACAATCATCAGACAAACAAACACAGAACACAGGAGGAGAAGAAGTGTGAGATTACTTCTAACAAAAAAATAATAATTACACATCACACAGCAGGAGAGTCACTTCGAGATGTGTTGAAGCATAAAAAAAAAAAAAAGCCTCTGCCCTTTCTGTGTGATCGCCCTCAGACGGCTGACTTCCTCTCCCTCCTGTCAGAGGAGCTCGACCAGGAAGGAGGAAGGACTTCAACCTTTATAACCTCGCTTCAAAATAAAAGCTATGGGTGGCACGTGTACAATGGGGCTGCGAGACGAGAGCACTGAAGACATCAATGTACAATATTAAAATGACTGATCACTGATCAGAAATCAAAAGCCCTGTACTTCGCTGAAGAGACAATACAGTGTCATTCACATGCGGGAGTCTGTGATGAGTGTCAGAGAGGAGTTTCTTTTCTCTTCATCAGCCTCTGACTGTGACAGGTGGCCGTGGACAGCCTGATGATGAGCCATAACTATTCACCATGCAAAAAACAAAAAACAAAAGAGTTTGACTCTTTTTTTTCCACATTACAGTGTAATACAAGCCGACGAACAGGTTCTCATCTTTTCCTGCAACAATAACGTGAACTGTGAACGATCCAGAGAACTGGCAGAGTTCCTCTCCTCGCTTCACTCATGCCAGTAAGTGGTTGAGCAGGTTAAACGAGCAACCTCCGCAGATCGAACACTCCACAGTGACCAAGGAAATTTTCAGGGTGAGAAAGGAAAGACTGGATGCAAAAACGAAAGCAAGCGCACAAGTCTGACTGCAAACACAAGCACTGTATCAGATTCAAAACCTTGAGTGTTTCCTCGGTGCACAGACGGAGAGGCCCGTAGTGAGTCACTGGTTTGGAGGACGAAGGGGTGAGTGCACAGTGGTTCAAGCAAAGGGACGTAAAGGGACGGAGTCCAAGACAAAGCTCTGCGGATGGGAGACTCAAGAGGAGGGCTCGTCTTCATGCAGGTCCTCCAGCTCTCCCTCTCTGGGTCCATCTCCTGTGCTGCACTTTCTGAGAGAAGAAATAAGAGAGAGAAAGATCAATACCATATACGCACAGTGAAGACAGAGATCTGAATGATGACGCTATTAAAAGCTTATGACTTCTCTCCTAATGCAGCACATTCAGAGAAGTTCTTTTTCCCTGTTTCCTACATGATGAATGTTAAAGACACAAAATGCTTTATCCATGAAACACAGAACTAAATGACAGCAGCAGGGAGACGACAAAACGCTCTGAGATTGAATGGGAGGGGCAGGGGGGACGGGGGGGGGGGGGGGGGGGGGGGGGGGGGGGGGGGGGGGGGGGGGGGGGGGGGGTTCCGATCACCCCTCATGATGGGGATAAGCAGGAGCTGAGGAGTCTAAGATGATGGCGGGCGCAGCGGCTGACAGACGGCGTGCCACACTGTACTGAGAGAGTGTTACCTGAGGGAGGGGTGAAGTTTTAAAGAGGGCCGGAAGGGCCACGAGTCCCTGCAGCACAGTGGGAGAAAAGATGGAGAAGTCACAGGTGAGAGGGCAAAGGTCACCTGAGGAGGTCAAAAACAAGGTTGCCGGTGGAGATGACCTCCCCCCTGCTAACCCCACCCACCACAACATGAAGGTCATTTTCTACATTTCAGTGTTAATGCTGAGATTGCCAGTCAACACTGATCATTGACAACTGATTAAACGCTTGAGTTACTGTTTCTAACATGAAGAACTGACCAGTTTTTCTGTTTCACACCGATATATAACATACAATCTCTTCTGAGACTCTGACGGAGCTTTTTCAAGGTCTGAAAACATTTTTGTGTGTGTGTGTGTGTGTTAGTGTGCGTTACAAATGGATGATCGGTACTTGAGGTAGGCAGGGAAAATCTAACTAATGGTGCTATTATTAAAAAATGTAGGACTGAATGTTTTTGGAGCTTGACCCGTATTAGGGATTATAAAACAGGATATCTTACTATCTGCTGTTTTGATTTGGATCACTCTTTTGTAAAATTGTCTCTTTATGATCCCTGACAGCGGAGTGCTCCATTAATCACTAAAATGAATAATCATTACCATTATTTTATGTTCTGAAACCTCTGCATAATTAGTATGAATATGAAATCATGTCCAGTTGCATCCTGTGATAAAGAAAAATTCTACTTGTCTTGTCCCCCCCCCCCCATCCTCCAGCAGGGGGCAGCGTTGCCTCAAACATACATGTCCTCTGAAAACACCTTTACCTTAGACAGCAGCTTCAGCTCTGACTGCTCAGACTGTAACGGAGGAAACCTCGACCTACATACAGAAGAAATCATCAAAAAGACGAAAAGACGCCCTCACAATAGGAGATTAGAGTCCGTTCCACATTCAGCACTACAGTAGTCCATCTTCATGACAGAGTCTGCTGGACACATAACACGGATTACTGTCCCAAGGACGCCGGCAGGACAGCAGGGAACAGCTATAGATGCTCCAATCTGCCCTCGGCTGTATTATGTTAAAACTGCATGATGGGATAGGACAATTGTTTCCAATCCATGTAACAGAAAATCCAAGGTCAGCCCGAGGCACTGGTGGATCTGTATCATTCTGTCTCACTCTAAATCTTTGTGCCCTTCAAAGCTGGAAGCAACACACAAAGAAACACTCAGAAAAGCTGTAAGCTCCACTGCATACAATGAAAGAATGAATTATGGTGCTATGGCAACACAAAGCAGCAGCTGCTGCCACAGGAATGAGTGCTAGTTAACCTGATACAGCAGAAAGAGGAGACAGGTGTGAAGTATCAATCTGTGTTACAATCTCAAGCAATCTCAGCAATAAGAGCCTGCGTGGTTTTAGTTTTGCTTTTCCCTTCACTGATAAGATTTGCAACCATTAAGTGTGTGAGTGAGGTGTGGACATATCTGGCTGCTGGACCGAGTGTGTGTGTGTGTGTGTGTGTGTGTGTGTGCTTACATGAGCAGGCTGCCGGGCGCAGACATGGACCTCTCCTCCCTCCTGCTCGGACATTCAAAGGGGTTACTGAAGGAGCGCTTCCTCAGCATGGCTTTTACCAAGATCTGAAACAGTCACAGAACACAGGACGGTTACCGGTGTGAGCAGTTTTGAGCTTGTGGTCGTGCGCGTGGAGAGTAGCTGGATTTACAAGCAACGTCATTGTGAGACTTGCGCGCAGGGGGTGAAGCAAAACAGAAGATCTGTGCTCTCATGGGGAAATCAACATGTTGTGTTTGTGCAATTAACTGCATGAGAAACTACAATCACCTCCTCGCGGTTGTCTGCCTCCTCCACTCAGACTAGTTATAGATTACATCTCTGTTTATCCAGAGTCGTATAAAATATCAACCATTTGTGTCAAATTTTGTCATGATTTCTGTGTGAAGTCTTGAGTAGGGGCTACAAAGTGTTTTGTGAGGTCACACTGACCTCGACCTTTGATCTTAGCTCTGCCATCAATAAGGCAGAAGCTGGTGTGGAGGAAACACTTGTTCTAAGGTAAGACAGCTCACACCTACAGTGTGTTTACATCTGTATGATCAATGATTTGATGATCACTTTGATGTGTGTTTAGAGCTTCAGTGTGCAACCATTGATCGAGCTGCAGACTGATGTGTGTGTGTGTGTGTGTGTGTGTGTGTACGTACACAGTATATGTAAGCTGTCTCGATACTGCAATGACACACTACGCCCCCACTCCCTTGACTGTTAAAAAGGTAAGGATCGACTGTAGTGAGAATTTCAAACGTGCTCCACTGCTGCACTGTGCGTGCCTTCGCCTGTGTGAGCACATCTCCACGGGTGTAACATTATAACATTTACGGGAGTCACACATCGCAGAATGTGGTTTCCTGTTTTCAGGGACGTGGTTCCTTCGCAGCAGCAACAACGGCAGCGAAATAACAGACTACAACATACTATTATGTACTATTATTGAATATCCCAGAGAAACGTGCAGTAAAAGTCGACATTAAGCAACAGATTCCCTCATTCAGCATCATCATCATAAGAACAGGCTAACTAACTACAAAGACAGTAATAACAATACACAACACACAACAGCAAGACCAAACCAAGCTGCTACAGTAACCAATCAAAAAACCACATCAGACAATAAAATCAAATAGTATTCCTGTCTATTTGAAGTTCTTCTGCACATTACATAAAACTCTTGTAGAACGGCCTCCGAATCAATTCCAGTATCATGATGGATGTTCATCCGGTGATTAACATCTGCAGCGTCAACACACTCCTCCTTTATCTCCTGCTCTCCTCTTGAATCACTCATAAAGTTAGTGCGTGGATGCAGCTGAAAAATAAATCAGGATTACCTGTTGCCCCCCTTTTATTTTCAAGATGTTAAAAAAAAAAACAAACGGGTACGAGTACAGGACTACAGCTGCAAACTGCAAACTGGGGCATCAAGGTGATTTTTCTTTCAGTGCTCAACAAAGAGAAGACACAACCTTGTCCTCGATTTGAACAGAGGAAGCAGCTACTCTGAGCGCTGCTGAATGAAGAGCTTGGTGAACAGGGGACACCCGGCGCGTCTTACCACTGCAGAGAGGCTGGGGACAAACTTGACTGAGTTCTGGATGTCCTCCTCGGTCACCTCCACCACAGAGCAGTGCTCCTCCTCCAGAGGCAAGGGGTCGGTACCGCCCTGGGTCACCCACTGGTCCATCTGAACACACACACACACACACACACACACACACACACACACACACACACACACACACACACACACACACACACACACACACACAACACACAACATAAAATAATCAAAATATTCAAAACAATCAGCCGGAGTTAGTTTGCATCTGAACATTTCTGTATTGTTTCATCTTTAAATTGTTGCAAAGGGCGACAGCCTTTTTGAATTAGGATGGAGCCTTCGTACTGCACAGCATGCAGACATTACATCGCTACCGAGCATTTTCTAAAGCAGGACATGTTTAGATTTATAAATGAGAATGTTCTAGCAGCCCAGCCGCCCTGTGTTTCGATTCATTTCATTATGCTCCAAAAATCCAAAAGCAACGACGTAAAAGCTGCTTGAGACAAATGCTCCATCAAACTGAACCAGCCCCAGTTGATTTTTATCCAAGTTGCTTCATTATTGATCACAGTGATTTGAATTCGAAGGCTGCAGATATTCTATATTTTCTTACTGCCATCAAAACAAATGGAAAGACCAAATACAAGTACGTCTGTCAATCAGTGCTTCCCGACTTTCATCTCCAGCCCTCTCATTCCTACTGCAGACATACTTTTATAAAAACAGGTCACTGGTGTACTGTATATACTTTCATTTTCAAAACAGCTGGGCACTGTAGTTTTTACCAAACGTTACTCAAACAGGAGGAAACTGTTTTTGTTGGGGACTATTTTCTGTCATGGATCAGGTGCTCTGGGTGGAGTAATGGTTTATCTGGGACTGACAAACCACAGTGTCTATGTTTATCATAATGAAGGAACATATCACCCAGTGTAAGGATCCACTGACGCACATATATATTTATGAATATGATCATTTCATTGGTCTTGTCATAGGATTCGTTGACGACATTGAGTATCTCTAGATTTATCCTTTAAAGTGCCTGCAGAGATTCATTCGCACGCTGCCTGGGAGGCTCTGACATCCAGAACATCATGAACATCACTGCTGCTTCTTCACAAATGAAGAACCAATCAATCAAAAATCCACACAATCCAGGAAGACAGCAGACGATCTGCAAACCTTTCAAATCAGTGAGCATCAATACGCATTGAGGAAAAAGCAATGGACAGATTTACCTGCCTGAACTTTCAAATCTCTTAAAGTTCGTTTTTATACAGTGACTCGACTTGAAGTGTGCTGTAATCATTTGACAATAATATAGGACACAGTGTAGTTCAGGGCTAAAACATGATTTTGCTTTGAATTAATTACATTTAAGTTGCATTTAATTAAACTGTAAAATAACGTGACTTTTTGTGACATTAAATCTTCAGTAAATGTAATTATCTCTATTGACTGAAGGGTTTTCTGAGTTTCTTCTCGTAACTTGTGTCAACTAAAAAGATGTGTTTGTGTGTTTGTGCACAAATTCATGCATGATCCCTCACAGCCTAATTACTACATCTCTTGTTCTATAAACACAAACAGAGTCTCTGGTGAGAAAAACCACTCACTGACACATGATCAGACTGTGTCATGGAAACACGGCGGGGAGTGGGGAATGTCATCTGTCCATGGCTGCTCCCGGACCTCCTTACCCCTCTAATACTGGCTGACTCAGTTTCAGCCCGGTCCTCCACGGGGACAGACAGGTTTCATCGTGCCCTGGAGCAACACAGCAAGTCTGATGAACCCTGCTCTATTTATCACAGTGAGGTCAGAGTCTCACCATCAATCAGTCTGATGATCTTGTGCGTTGGTGTCAGTGGAGCCAGAATGAGATTAACAACTTTCAGTCTCAGCCTCCTACTGTTTTTTATACGACTAAAATATGGTAAGAAATGCATTCCCTCTTCTCATCAGGGTACTTCACATCAAAATGTCAGCAGTGTTTTTTTTTGTGCAGTGGTCTACAATAGGCCTTCCATGGTGCACGGAGCTCTTCTGAGAAACACTTCATGTGTGTTCTTACATTAGAAATGAAACACAAGTGGGTGCTGACTGAAAATGAGGATCCTGGCTCCTGTTGATGCAGAGCATTATATTTTTCACTGCGAGAACTGTTGCATGTGTGTTTGTGTGCCTATTAAAACTTTACATCCAATATGCCTATCGACTTACAAATAGCACTGTAGCACAGTGAGGTTCAGTCCCCTGGGCTTATTTCTAAAAGTACTAAGTACTGACCTTATTAGCTTAAAACCTGAGAGAGGGGGGACAAACGGTCTCGCTGTCCCTCCTACACTGTAGCCAGTGGTTTGTGCAAAAAAGACATGTATGATGTCTGACAGCCTAATCTTGTCTTGTTGTATAAACAGTCTCTGGTGAGAAAACCACTCACTGACATGATCAGACTGTCATGGAAACACGGTGGGGAATGTCGTCTGTCCACGTCTGCTCCTGAACCTCACCTACCCCTCTACCCCAGTCCTCCGCACGGACAAACAGGTTTCATCATGCCCTGGAGCAACACAGCATGTATGACGAACCCTGCTCCATGTATCACAGTGAGGTCAGAGCCAGACGAGCCAATCGCTGCAGAGAGAAGCGCATTCCTGTCGTGTGTGTGAACATCGACGGTGAAATCCTCTTGCAATGACTGTGTTCAACTCAGCTGCCTGTCATCCTGAACAATAAGTGACCGACCCCAAGGTCTCGTTCCACAGCTGCTTTGCTCTCTCTCTACGTTACCTTGATCTCAGGGATGGTGATCCTGGTGTCTGGGTTCTTATCCAGCATCCGCAAGATCAGAGTCCGCAGCTCTTCACTGATGTTTGGTCTGCATGAAACAACATGATAATGACACAGAACAAGATTTGAGGCCCATGTAAAGTAGAGAATGTATACCAAAGCCATTCATGGTCCTGTTTAGACCCAAGGGTCAATATATACAGACTTGGATCAAACTTTCTGAACTGGGCCACTGGAGGGAGGGAGGCTGTGTGTGTGTGTGTGTGTGTGTGTGTGTGTGTGTGTGTGTGTGTGTGTGGATCAGTGGACCAGGGGGGAAATACAGAGAGTGAAACTAAGTTGAATGAATATGATTTATTTATGGAAAATAAACAAACAATAATTTGTTGATGCTGCCGTCCGTCCGTCCCTCCCAGTCTTGTGGATGTGATATCTCAGTAACGCCTCGAGGGAATTTGGCACAAAGGACTCAAGGGTGAACTGATTCGATTTTGGTGGTCAACACAAAAAACGTTTTTGGCCATAACTCAAGAATTCATGCATTATTATGATTAAATATAACACAAATGTCTATTAAGGAAAAAATGATTCAACTCTGTAACTCAGGAACAGAAGTGGAGATTGACCGTGTCTCCTGCAACTGGACTGGTTGGTGGACATATGTTATATAAGCTTTCCTCTTTTATGTTTCAGTGTTACACCATGGGTACTTTTAATGTTGACGCTGTGAATTAAGTTTTTAAAAAAAAAATCTTCTAAAACAAATTATAGCAGTGAGTCCTAACCAGGGCTGCTGTAGCCCCAAGGGCTAACTTCTCCTGCTGCGTGGAAAGACTGCGGAGTAGCTCAACTTATTCAAAACAAAGTAGAAAAGCATATCCTCAGCATATTAAGTCTGTCAGTCAGTCAGTCAGTCATTAACATGTGTTGTGATTGAGAGGGAGTTAGCAAGCAAGCGATTAGCTAAAAGTAATGGATAAAGGTGGTTAACTAGATAACTTCATGGAACTTGAATTACTTAACAAATGAAACAGTTAGCTAACCAATAAACGGTCAAAATAAGCAGCTAAAAGCAACAAATAAACGGTTAGCTAGGTAAGTTTATGCTAACGCTACTAGATAGATAGATAGATAGATAGATAGATAGATAGATAGATAGATAGATAGATAGATAGATTCTCATAATGGCAGTAGCAACATTAACTGCACTACACCTTCAGTGTAATGACTCCATCAGAGCTGACAAGAAGGCGCCACTAACTGTCATTGATATGTGCAGTGTGGAGATGATTTCATTAGTTGGTGTGCTATTCTGTTCTGACGGAGGGTGGTGTTTAATGAATGAGCTGCTTTCCACACAGCCGGAGTCTCTTGAGCCCGCCGGGGGAAGACACTTTCATTACTGATATGACCCCCCCCCACACTGACACACACTCCAACTGCCACTCACAGGCCTTTCACACATGCTATGTTTATACTTCATCAGTCTATCACCACAGCCAGCCTCTTCCTGGCTTTTTTATCTCTTGTTCTCTCTTTTCTGGTCTGTATTATTCACCCGACAAGACCTCCATGTTTTTCTTTAACCTTTCGGGGGGAAGGAAGATAGGGGAAGCACAGCAGCTTGTATGTGTCCAGGCTGCTGATGCCCCCTGCTTTTTTCTTTTTCAATGCTTGTTTTGATCACACGCCGGTGACATTTACTGTGTGCTGGCACCGACTGACTGCTGCGTAAAACTATTCACATTTTTGTAGGTGCAATTTGTAACCGGAGAGGAGAACAAAATGGTTTTGCGATCGGAGATGCAGATTAGAAGATGGCAATCGGCGAAGACGGTGACTACAGCTGTGGACAGGAGGTGGCGGGAACGTCACCGCTGTCTCTTTTAATAAAGGGAAGGGAGAGAGATGGACTCACGTTTCTGAGAAGTCCACAGGCTTGGTCCTTATCTTGTTGTGCAAAGCCAATATGTACTCATCAATAAATGGGCACTGCAGGTGAAGCAGAAGAAAGCGAGGGAAAAACACAAGGAAGGAACATTGAATTACTACTGTGCCGGGGAAAATCTGTATCCCTGAAGACGACAGAGGAAAAAAAAAACACACACACACAACAGCAGCTTCTGCAGTATGACACATAAAGCAAAACCGATGCTACAGAGTGTTCCTACTAAAGTGCCACTCGGTGCTGTTTACAAGCATCGGAGTCTGTGAAATGAACATTTTCCTAGCCTTTACCGTTAACCTTTCGTGAGCAAAGATTCTGATATGTGACCGAGGGGCAGAAACTGTGCGTACTTGCCTTCCCAAAGACGAAACAGTAGAGAGTGACTCCCATGGCCCACACGTCCAGAGCCTGTGAGAGAGTGGCAGTAGTGACGTTAAATGCGACATAACGACATAACAGACTGCACAACTATACTTTTAGAAACACACTGAAACGATCCGAACACCTGCTCATGTAAAAAAAAAACAAAAAAACACTGAGACCTAAATCAATATAGACTGCCTACTGTGATTTATGAGACATTTTTCAGCTTATTTTCTGGGGCCGTCTACCATCAGACACCTTAGAGATGGATGTGTATGATCAGCAGAGGCAGAACGACTATCCATCAGGCTTGTAGTTCCTCTCCGCTATTCTGTATGACTAACTAACGCCCTAATGGCCCGATGTACGACTGGGACTGAGGGATTAACTGATTGAGTGTCAGATGTTAAATATTTCACTGATGACTTAAACTTCAAATCAAATCACAAATGTTGATGAATAATGGACACAGAGCTGTTCGGAACATGGCTACAACAAATCCAAATCAGGAAGAGAGCAGGACTAATCAGAGAAAAAGCGGCCCGTTAACACAGCATATACTTCTCGGAGCCTCGGGGAAACAGTGGGCCGAGACACTTGAAGTGCTCCTACATCCTGATAGCATTTTGTCTGCAATCAAACATTCTATTCTGACCCCTCTTTTATAGACATGCAACTTCCTTCCAGGAGCACATCCATCAGTCTGCCTTCGGTGATTACCACCGCAGAAAGGAACACGACCTGTACCAATCATGCTGGATATGAATAGGATGTCGGGGGTTGAGAATCGAGGCTTTGTTGTTACTTGTTCATAAATCAGCAGGTAGGCTTGATTCACAAGCCTCAAAAAAAAAAAAAAAAAAAAAAAAAAAAAAAATCACTCATACTGAAAAACTGAAAATGGAGGAATTACGTCAATGAGTTCTTTCAGTTGCAATAAAAAAATTAAAGCTTTGCGACAACATGGTTTTCAAATAATGTGGATTTAGTGTGGAGGCAGGAGGTATTCACTTCCAGCATCATGGAAGAGTGGCAGGTTGTCCTTGACAAACATGACTGATCATTGCTCGACCTTCAAAGCAGCAACACTTCTGTATAATGATGTGAATCATCGCCGAATCAATAACAGATATGTAAAACTAACAGCCTTGTTCCATTTCTTTACTCTGGTAATGCCTTTGTTTTCTGCAGCATCCTCGTTACTAATGCCAGCTAACACAAAGGGGAAACGACTGACAATGGCAATTAGCTCCTCAGATTAGCGGGCCAGCAAAGGTCTGAAATCTCATCTTGGTTTATTGGTTCTCATTTTCAAATCATGTGGTTAAGGCTTATGCCAGCACCTGCAGCTGCTGTAATCACATCAGTTAAAACTCACGCACACACACATCACACGAGCACAGATGAAGCACTTTGCATTCATATATGAAAGTAAGGTTAACTCACCTTTCCGCTGAAGCTCTTGCGCTGATCTGACAAGGTCTCTGGTGCCATGAAGGCGGGAGTGCCGGCTGTGCTGGACAGCAAAGCATCGTTGCCCTCAAACTGGTTGCTGACCCCAAAGTCTGCTATCTTCACATGGCCGTCATCCCCAAGTAACAAGTTAGAAGGCTTGATGTCCCGGTGGACAATCTTCTGGTAGTGCACTGAGGACAAAGAGGGCGTCGTTAGTCTGATTTTTTAAGAGCTACTATAATAAAAACCAAACAAACAACATCCTGATGATTTTGTTATTCTTGGACTGTGGTGAGCAGTGCGGCTAAAAAAAACAAAACAAACTCAAGCAGTATCTAAAAGGTTTATTCTCAGGGGGAAGTTTGAATGAACTCCGTAAATTTTTATGGCGCTCTGCTGCAGAGTAGAGTTTGATATCTCTATTTCTCTATCTACATGTCTGTATTTCTTTTTTTTTTTAATTTATTTATTTTTTCAGGCTTTTTGTGCCTTTATTGACAGTGCAGTAGAGAGACAGGAAATGGGGAGGCAGAGATAGGGGGAGTGACATGCAGCTAAGGGCTGTCCGATGCGGGACTCGAACCGGGGCCGACTGCAGCGAGGACTGTAGCCTCTACACATGGAGCGGATGCTCATCCAACTGAGCTACTCGACGCCCCATGTCTGTATTTCTTATTGAAACACCGTGTCATGGAGCAAGATGGTGCTAGTATGACAGACAAAAAAATGACATGTATTCACAGTATGAATGAATGAATAAATAAATAAATAAATAAATAAATACAGACTCACATGATTAAATTAAGAAACGTAAATATATATAAAAACACATTTTTCATTACCAAAACATATTTAAAAGAAGATATTCCTTCATTAGGACGTGTGCAGTGTCACAGCAGCAAAGTACGAGACAGTACAAGAAAGACAAACTGTAAAATGTGAAAAATATTAAGATAAAATAGCAGCACATGAGGTATTTGATTATTTATTTATGCACTTATTTAATTATTTAGTTATTTTTTGTCCTTCATAATTATCAGATTGTTAACACAGATGGATTAACGTCTCAGGAGCATTTTACTGATGTAGATGGTCGGGGCGGAGCAAGTTTAAACTAGTTTATACATAGTTCAGTTGTTTAGTTATTATTATTATTTGCTTTTTTTTGTGGATTTTTTAACTTTAATCTGATGCCATGTGAGAAGTTTAGTGGACATGACTCCGACCAGACAGAGGGTGTCAAAAGCCAAACAGGTTGACAACTGTTCAGCTCATCACGTGGTTTGTAACCAGTAACTCCAGCTGTCAGATAAATGTAGTGAAGTACAAGTACAATATTTCCCTCTGAAATGCAGTGAAGGAGTGTAAATACAAAGAAGCAATAAATGGAAATACTCAGGTAAATGTACTTCCACTATACCACTGCAGCTGAGCACATGTTTATCATATAATACACACACTACTGAAACATTTACTTCCATTCATATCATATTAAAATGAACCATGTGTCTAATAAAGGTGCATGTCAGTTGTCATTCTGATGTACAGTATAAGTGAGACACAGGGATCTGTAATTTAAAAAAAAATAACATATAGTTAAGAAATGATTGTTTGACCTCTGTCTGATTGCTGCAGTGTCAGAATGATGTGAAGCAACTTCAGGTCATCTGAAACCGAAAGTTAAGTGCATGTCTATGCCTTAACACTCAGCAGCCGTCTGGAGCTAAGCCCTCGACGCCTCACTGATTGGATAAGTGCTGCCTTCTCGTCTGAAGAGGTCTTATTAAAACCATGAAGTACTTTACTTATTAAAGGCCTTGGCAATTAAACATTGTTAGCTCTGATAATGCTCAAATTAAAACACACAACATCAGTGACCTAAAGAATGACCACTGAGGTTTAGAATTCAGGATAATTCAGGTTTTAAAAAGGAAAAGCTATTTCACTTTCACTACACTGGAGTCCATCAAGAGACAATCATACACTGACCTCTGTGGTTTGTTATGGAAGCCTCTAAATGTTCTATATCAAATGAATGAAAAAGTAGTTTTAACTATAATATAATTAAAACAACTCAAGATGCTAATTTATCATTCCTATTTTCATTATAAGAATTACAGGAGTTTATTTTTATTTCATAATGTCACTTTTCATGACAGCAGTCATGACCTTTCAGCCTTTCAGCCCCCTGAAGTTTGAACCGAGCGCTGCTCCTCAGAGAGAGTCTGTCTCTGTCACACAAGAATTTCAATAATATTCTGTAAACAATAGCAAACCAGACTTTTTGAAAAACGGTCAGTACCACTCAGCTTATTAATTCGGCAGTTAACACTTCATAAATCAGAAATAAACAATCACAAACAATAACAGTTAGAACAGTTTTCGTATGTTGATGCAGGCTCACTATTTGGCAAGGTTAATTTAATGCTTGATACTTATTAATCTTAATGATTAATCACTGAGTATTTTAGTATTTATAACTGGTAAAAGGAGCCCTATTGTAAAGTGTGAAACATCACCAATTATTAATGAGTTACTATAAGGCTCCTTTTACCACTTATAAATAATAGTAACTCATTAATAAATTAGTAAGATTAATGAGAAGCAAGCATTACCTTAATCATGCCAATTAGTGAGGCTGCATCGATGTATGAGAACTGTTATAACTTGTTTATAATTCTTTATTTTTGATTTATAAAGTGTTAACAACCAAGTGAATAACCTTATCATAAACCAAGTCCTTTAAAAGGGTCGTCTTATTGTGAAGTGATACCAAAAGGTCTATAATGAAATAAAGTAGTATCAAATTAAAATCTGTTATTACGGAAATGAAAGACGAAATTTCGTCACAATGATTTGAGTTTTAATAATTTCTTCAATTATGCAGTAAATTGTTGGTTCATTTCTATATTTCACAGAATTAATTCATATGATTATTTGTTTCATAATTTGTTTTTTATTCATTTAATATTGAACACATGCTGGTTGCATAGTTCGTAGTCATCAGTTATTACTCTATTTATATGAATATACTCCTCATACTCCTACACAGTCCACGGTTATAATTTTTATGAGGGTCGGCAATAAAAAGTAAAGTGATGAGAAAGTTGCTTTTCCGCCAGAGGGACATGGTTCCTCCGCCCTGCTGATTTGCCTTTGAGCGGGAAATGTAACTGATCCTCAAATGTGACCTACGACTCCTGAGGTGTATGAGGTGTAACCACTCCAAAAAAAAAAAAAAAAAAAAAAGTGGAAATACTGAAAGTGTGTGATGAGTCTCTGGACCCCAGAGCTCAGAAAGAGGCAGCATTGATCACTAATGATTGGGCTTATAGCCAAGTAAAATTGATCCAGTGCAGCAAATGAGGACACAGCTGGTGAAAAAAACAATCTGAACAGAGGCTCGATACTGATGAGGTGGACAGCACACAACTGCAGCCAGACCCCAGGGGCATGGAAACAGGGCGGGGAACACTTTGTTCCTTCAGGAGAATACTATCATATCAGCAGAGCAGCGAGAGAGCTCACAGCAGTCCACATGTTTCTGCTTTTACATCATAAGGTTTATCATAAAGAGAAAATCTAATGCTTTCATAAGATACTTACAGTACTCTATGCCCAGGATGACGTCTCTGAAGTATAACCTCGCCTGCTCCTCTGACAAAGGATTGTCCGCTGGCACTTCCATCACTGGACTGCAAATCCACACAGGCAGAGTCATGGTGGCGTAGAAAAGACACAGACAAACAGACAGTGAAGCAGACAAATCCACAGATTATGAGTGTCAGTCTTTTCATTAGCACTGGAATTTGACTCCAAATGTGAAGACATTCAAATGGGAAACACATGTAAACAGACATTACACGTCCTGATCAAACAGCACTGATACTCACAGTCTCACAGTCAAGACCGTCTTTGTATGAATCAGAAAGGCAACAGCAAGAGTCTCAGTTTGACTCTCTCAGGCTGTAAATAGAGCACTTAATCAAATCACTTTTAGAGAGAAGCTATAACCCCTTTCACTACGTATCAATATCAATATTATTATTATATATATTCAGCCTGCCTTAAAAGGGAATTAACTCCAGCTAACTCCACCTTTACCCACAGAGATATGAACACAAAAGGATTCATGCCATTTGATCATGGCCATATAAAGTTCCTAGGGGCCCTGGGGCAAAAATGTGTTGTTTGGCCCCTATTGACCCCCAGAGACTAACAAGCACAATAAAGCTTAAATGGTTGGTCGATTGACAGATACTGAGTTGGCAACATTTCTGATAATTGACAAATTGTTTGTCATTTCTAAAATTCACTGGTTGCAGCTTCTCAGGTTTGACAGCTCGCACAGACAGTGAACTCAACATATTGAGGTTTTTGACAGCTGCTCACACAGAGCAAGACATTTGAAGATCTTGGGCTTCAGGGAATAATATTCTCTGACATTTTATATATTAAATAATCAACTAATTATTAAAATAATCAGTGGTTGCAGCCTTACAGTTCATCTGTGTTATATTACTGCCTTGCCCGAGGTTTCCCGTGTGTTAATTTAAAATTGAAGCAATTTGGTGAAATAACTTTACAGCAACTGAGCTCAATGTTAATTAAAATAATTAAGGTCGTAAAACTAGATCTTAGCACAGGGTCAGTGTATAAGACTGGCGACCAGGAGGGCCCCTCTCTTGATACTGTATGCAAACAATGAATAAATGGTTCATCACACTATAAAACACCACAGTGGAGCAGGTATTAGGACATTTTTAAGTGTTAATGTATTTGTTAACTGAAAGTTCTTCTATGCAGTTAAAGTGAAACTACCAAAGGAATATTAAACAAAGTGCTTTTTTAACATTTATGTGTCACGAACACACTGTACTGTATAAAAATGACAGTGTGAGTGTGTAGAGAAGGACTGTGATAAAGAAAGCAAACTTTAACTGGAAGTTCACTAAACAAGGACAGAAAAAAACTGAAAACAGAAACAACAGGTTCCTTCAGTGTTTATAAAATCATAATTCCTCACTATGATTTTATGGTTTGTAGTAAAGTAATGAATGACATTTACATTAGTTTCTAATGTCCTGGTATGAATGGATATAATTTAATCTTTAAATAAATGATAACATAAGATATTTGTATATTAGCTAAAGACAATTTTACATGTTATAACAGTTAAAATCTTAAATGATGTAAATCTACTTAAGAATTACAGCTTGACACACTGAGTTATCAACCATTCACTAGCTATTTCTTATCGATAGTTATAGATATATAAGTTATAGATAAGTAATAACATAATAATATAATAATATAGTGCCCTAACTATTCATTGATTGTTTATTTACTGCTGCCTTTACATGTTAAATGGGGGTTTAATGTGACCATTGTTTCATTTAATTAGCTGAACCTTTATTCATAGGATGGCATGAGAAATGAAAAATACCCATAACAATTCCCCAGAGCCTGAGGTCACGTACGTGTGCAGCTTGTTTTGTCCGACCAACAGTCTAAAACCAAAACATATTCAATTTACAATGATGAAAAAAAATCAAATCCTCACATTTGAGAAACTGGAACCAGCTGATGCTTGAAATCCTACTGCAGTAGCAATAAATATAATAGTAAAAGCTATCATAGTACTAATACTAATAACACTGTTGGCTGTGGTAGAACCAGTTGTTGCGTGGCAACAGAAACACTTTTAGTTGCATCCGATGTATAAAAGAAGAAAAAAAAAGTGATTATTTATATGAGTAGCAGAAGACAGATTAATAGCAGCTGTATTAATCAGCTCAGCTGTCTATCATCTTCCTCCTGGGGGCAATAAGAGAGCAAACTCTCTCTCTCATTATAAACAGCCAACAAATAGCAAATAGAGCATATCTTCCCATTAAAAGGACAATATAACTTATCTATACACAAATGTGTGAAATGATACCAGCTACTCCCTCCCACCTCCATTCAATTACACTAGCAAAAGGTCTCAGATCATTAGATCATCGCAAATATTTTATCGGTGTAGGAAGGAGCAGCCCATGCATCAGGGCCTGAAACGCTTACAGGGCTGACTGCCGCTGGTAATAACTGTGAAAACCTAAGAACATTATCTGTCCCTTTGAAGCCTGGGATGGAACAAACACCCGCACTCAGTCAGCTTGGAGTAATGAAGGAGAACATTGTAGAGACCGAGGCAGGGATGGAGAGATGCAGAAATGAGGAGTGGAAGGTAGCGGCGCTGAGGGGACAAGCCTTACATTATTCAAAAAAACAAAGACATGTTCTCTACTCACCCTTTACGCATCAGCTCAAACACTGTCAGGAAAGGGAGGGAGAAGGAAATGAGAACATGTCAGACCACACAATTTATTCATTAATTCATTCATTCAGCTGGGTTTTGATCACTGCTGCCACTGAGGCAACACGGCAGCATCACATTATTCACTGTCACTGAATTAGCCGTATGTGCCACATGAAGCACAAAGAGTTTGAAGTTTTACACTAACAGGTGTCCTGACTGTGACCTGGCACTGCTGATGGAGGGTTTCTGCATAATGCCTGAGCCCTGAGGTGGTGTGGAGGGAAGCAAGGGGTGATCTGAATTATGAATAAGTTATATGAATGCTCCTTGGTGGCATGTGTGTCAAGTGCTAAAGGCTGAGAGAGGGGGGCAAAAATAGAGAGAAAGATTTGGATTTGGCATACCCATGTGAAGGTTGTCCTCCGCAGGATCATCCAGCACCTGCAATATGAACATAATCATCATGAATGGAGATTGTCCAGTTGGAAATCTCAAGGTCTTAAAGGCGCAGGTGGGTGTGAGAGACATGCGAGTCGTTTCCTCCTTAACAAGTAGCTGTGATGACAGTGCCCTTGACACTTGGAAACAACTGGATGAAAATGACCTTCTGGCCTTTAAGAAAGCCGTTTGTTATTCTCAACAGTCAGGACATCGGTGGGAGCTGTAATGTAAAACACCAGCTCTACATAATGTGTGCAAATTCACATTTCTGCTCTTGACACTTGGCCAGGTTCATGGCCGGATTAACATGCTGTGGGGCCCCTGGGCGAACCCCCCCACCCCCACCACCCCCCTGCCCCCAGCCCCAATTACCAATTCCATTTTAGTCCTGTTTTCATCAGCGACATGTTTGTCTCATTTTCGTCATGCATTTTTTTTTTTATGTCCTCTAAGCATTTTGAGGCTTCAGCTGCTTTTGATATCTTTTTAAACAGTTACCATGGTTACAGGTGTCTATCGCGAGATCTCCACACAGACTGACTGAACTCAGTGAATCCAGTTAGCATTTCCAATCTGTGTCTGTTTGAAGAGAGCCGTTCTCTAATCTAATGTTCCTGCTAACATGGCGTTACTGTAGCTCCTTGTTCTGTTCACCGCAGACCATCGTCTTGGTTTCAGAGGAAACGCCGTAATATCAGAAAACATTAACACTGCGATCTTTCTTTAGCAAACATCTGGAGGACTATTTAGATGTTTGACAGCCAACATTCATCTTGAAACTTGCTCTCTCCTCCTGATAAACACTAAAGGTATCTGACTCAGAGCAATGCTAATTTTAGATGCGCATCAACAGCACTTAATAGCGACATTAGCTAACCTTATTATAAATGTTGATGTGCTGTCTGCATTTGTGTGCAGTGTGTTTTGAGAATCAGGGGCTACACTGTGTGATGTTGCACGCAGGTTGCTGAATTAGACTGAAATGTAAAACATCGTCATAGTCCTAGTTACTTTTCATATAGTTTTAATCTTGTTGTCATTGTGAAAACAAGACTAATATTTACACTGTACTGCGTATGTATGTATCTACTTGTATAAAGCCTGTTGTGCTGTGCAAAGTCAGCAATGGCTGGGGCTGAAATCTACAAGTTTGAAAATGAAATACATCTGGGGTAGAGTTAAAGAGTCCGCTCCTCATCTCTGCTCGAAGCTGGAGGCTCAAGGCTACATTAGCCACTACTAGCATAACAAGCCTAAATCTACAACCAAACTACTGGCTGTTCAAGTTGCATTGTGGTTAATGTAGGCATCAGGTTTTGACCAGAAAGAAGAATGTGTGGAATAACAAAGAAGATATTACTAGTTCTGCTGCATCAGTTCTGATCATTTCATTTTTTCAGACTATCTTTCATATTACAGGACTGAATTGCTAAATCAGTGGAATACTCTTATAAGTAAAAATAGAAGCAGGACCTGCCTTGGAGCCCTACCTGTAAGTTAATATTATCCTCTATGGGTGATATTTTCATAAATGCTAAATTAGATCAACACAAACTAAGCGTGGAGCTTTAGAGGCCCCTGGAGATCTGTGGCCCTGGGCAGTTGCCTGCTCTGCCTGGTCGATAACGCAGCCTCTGCCAGGTTAGTGAAAACAGGCGTTCCCACAGGACTACATGGCCCATATGCTGCGCTTCAGCAAGGCAACAGCTCACAGTTCCAACCACGGGACACACAGTCCTTCCAGAGCACGTGTCCAAATACAACATCCTGGTGAACTGAAATGACCACAGCGAAGGTAACGTCTGCCAAGGACACAGCACTGGAAAAACAAGGGCAGGTAATCACCTCTAAAGCAACAGGAACACTGTTTACACATGACAGTTTCACACCATGAAACAAGGCTACATTAGCCGCTACTAGCATAACAACAGTTCTTTCTGCATTGCACACTGTCTTCCCCTTTTTAAAGTGAAAGGACAAAAAGCCATAAACAGTAAATGAGCTGTTGTTGTGTGCAAAGTGCAAACCATTAGCAGCCTTGTCTTTTTACTTGTAGATGTTGAACAATGTTAAGATGCATTAAAATCTTGGTCCTGGTATCTTGATGTATGAGGAAATGACATAAATTGAGTTCAGGATTTAAACTCTCATAACAACCGCACGCCTTGGCGAGTATGGGGCCGGTTTCTCGGTCTCTTCCCAACCATCTGTGACAAATGACCATATCACTTTCATCAGTTTTAATCTGCTCCAATCGACATGGGCTTTAACGTTTCAAAACGAGAGAAAATGTCTCTTTATAATTAGATGGACTGGGCTGCAGTCTCACAGGAATCAGTTGGATATCCATAATGATTCTGACCCAGGCACAGCCCATTTAAACTGATGAACAGAGAGAGATGGCAAGTGGGAGAGCAGGTCTTCCCGTTGCCTGCGTGTGGCCATTATGCAAGTGAGGGCGGACAAAGAACGGAAGAGATGGGGGTTTATGTGTGTGTGTGTGTGTGTGTGTGTTGTTTCTGCTGGAGTGAGCACACAGGAGCAGAAGTGCTCAACTTTCAGTTAAAAACTCTCTCTCGCTGGCACACTCTCCACCTGAACAAGCCAGACGGCTTTCCCACCGACTCCCTCATCTTAACTCCCCGCCACAGCGACGCTGCCCCAGCCATCTGGCCAAGATTTGAAAAATGCTCTGATAATATCGCAAGGGAGCGGCGGACATCTTGAATCACATCTTCAAAGTCGGCTATCGTATTTCATAAACAGCCGCCTCTGTAGAAACTGGAATCAATCCATCTTCAAATTTCCCTACTCAGTTTGAGAGCGTTGGTTGTTGTAAACATAAGCTACTTACAGGGTGGAAACTGTGCTTTTCTAGAATATGTCATAAAGGTCCAATGATAGAAGCGTGAGAGATGTGCTGCAGGGCAAACAGTCTCTTATTTCCCACCTGTTTCCTGGCAGCACAAGGTTTATCCACCTTTTCTGTCTGACATAAACTGACATGACATAAATACAAAAGATGAGTCAGGGCACACAGCACCAAAGGTTATCTGACGATACAGTCCTAACGGATAATCCACCACAAAACATCCAGCAAAACATCCAGACTGAGAGAAACACTTAACAGCTTAAACAACACAGCTGCTTGCGTTGTGTTCCTCTGTCGTCATTTTGTATTGATTTATTTTTTTAATCTTTATCATCATTATTTGTACAAGGCTGAAAGATAAGTTTACAGCCAAGATCAGTTCTATGCAGTTGATCTTTTGCATCTTTTTGAGGTCATTTGTAGTTACTTTGCATTTGTTTGTGGTGATTTTACATCTTTACCAGCCGTGACAGGGTGGTTGGTATAGCTTTCACCTTTCACCTCTCACCACAGAGGCTCTGAGTACTTCAGCAGGTGTTTATATGTCAGCGGACAGATTCTGTCACTGTGATAGCATCACAACCGCATAACACAGTCATGAAACTTTACAGGTATGTAGCTCAGATGAAGATAAAGGCAGAGTGCGGTCCGACCAATGAGTACCGAGTACTCAGGTAACAATAATGTAGTAATAACTACATTTAGTCATTCAGCAGACGCTTTTATCCAAAGAAACTTACAAGAGAGGGACATCACTAAAGCTTCAGTGCAGTAGCCTTGGTGTAAGTACAAGGTACTACATCTATTCAAACAGTGAAGGAGATCAAGCTAAGAAGTGCACGGTAAGTGCCAGTTAGGCATGTTGGGGTGTTAGAGGTGTTAGGAGAGATGACAGCGAGGGACACCCCTGCTCTGATAACATTCAGTAGCATGTTCCACAATCGGGGGAACCACAGACCAGAACGGTCTGGACTGAGACTGTCTCGTGTGCAGGGGTGGCAGCGTCAGACGAGATTCCTTGGAGGAACGCAGAGGCTGAGAAGGAGCATGAGGCTGAGTGACTGAGATCTGAGTAACTGGGCGCGGACCCAGAAGTCTCTCTGAAGGCAGCATTAGTGAGACTTGAGTTTGACCTCCATGTGCAGCCAATGGAGGTCGATGAGGAGCGAGGAGTGACATGTGACCTGATGCATTCCTGGACCATCTGTAAGGGTGTCACTGTGCACGAAGGGAGGCCCACCAGATGAGCAGTGCTTGTGTAATAATGTAGTAATGACTAGTGAGTACTCATGGGTGACATCACCGTGGTGACGGGCATCGCTGCTGGTGTGATCCCATCACAAGATGGTCTCTAGTCGTCTAGTTGTTCTGTATCTTTCTGCTGTTTTTTTTTTCCCGTCTCTTTTGAGCTGTTTATTTCTTGTTGTGCATTTCTTTCACTGACTTTCCAACAAATGTTAACGTCCATGATATTAACAAGCCAGCTACCTATTACCTTCTGAGTGTGGCAAAAACACAAACACAAACACATAGTTCCATCCATGCGTGAGGAACCTGCCGAGACTCATCGGTGAGTGTCGGTGCCAGCGCGACAGTCAGTGTCTGCACTCGCTGCATGCAGAGCCGGATCAGACGAGAAACGTCTGGACGCTGCTGCTGAGTAAATGAACACGATGTAAGTCCTCTTCATGTTTCCATGGCATTCTGCTGTTGAAAGTTATTTTACTGATTTAGTCTTAAACGGATCATAATCAGCCAAGTGGTGGAGAGGGGCACTGCAGCGTTGCTATTTGTGCTGTTTATTTCAGTGTGCTATTGTTAACCATAAATATTCATGGCTATGATGTTTATGAACAGTAATGTAAAGTAGTTTGCAGTAATTTGCTATTATATTTAGTATTTAATCAGCAGCAATTTCAACACCTGCTTATATTCAAAGCTGGGTATTTCTACTTGCTCCTGAATTAAAGGGCAACATTAAGCAGCTGTATGTCTCTGAATGTCATGTTCATTTTCATTTGTTGTATATATCATTTCCTCTAGAACACAAACACACAACTGCAACATCTCGCCAGCAGCATGGATGTCTGTGCACTGCTCTTCCTAAAACAAATTCACCGACCTTGACGCTCTCTACTGCCCACAGTGTCTCACTGGAACCACGTCTGAATCTGCCAAAGGTCAGAGCCTCTATTAAACCATCTAATACTCCAGCCCGGGCCAAAGCCGTGGACCAACCAGCTGACATTAACATTCTTAGTATTTTGCCACTAACATAAGAACACGCTCTCATCAAGTCTCATCGAGTACTTTGAATTTTCTCAATGTAAAATGTTTGTTCAGAGAACCCTCATTGATTTCTCATGAAGTTAAAAATGAAAAAATAAAAATAGGCAAAAAATAAAAATAGGCAAAATATGAAAATACTATCATACTGCATTTGACCTCATTTGATCGATCTCCTCTTTTATCGCAAATGCAAACACGACATTTACCATTTACTGTTGTGTGTTCAACAACCAGAAGACGGAGAGACTCTCACCTCCACCAGCTTGACAATGTTGATGTGGTCCAGTTTTTTAAGGATGGCGATCTCCTGGTAGACCCTCTCCAGGGGTCCTAAGATTTTGGGCTGCTGTCCCTGGGCTGCCTTGGGACCTCTCGGGGGTGGGCGACCTGCAGACAACCACACAAATCCCCAAACACATTCATTTGATCATGATTCAGGTACAGATCACGAGGAATCAGATACAGAGGTTTCTCTATTGTGTTAAAATATGAGCGATAAGGAAATGAGACAAAGAAAACCTTTTTCTAGAAAAAAGTGTGATACAGTCCCTGCTGAAAATAGTTTTAAATGAATGTCAGAGAAACTGAGAATGAAAGCAAAGATTTCACGCAGTTTCACCGGGATTGTCATTTTTTCTACACACAAAATCTAATTTGAAAGATTATTTAAAGGAACAGTGTACCAGTTTTTACACATGAAGTTCAGTTTACTCATCACAAGGAGCACTAGGCCTCCTGCTGCAGCAGTATGCTGCTGTACCCCTTTCTACACCCTGTGCTCTCTGATAGCAGGGTGTGAAATCAGAAACACAACCACCAACAAACAGCTACTCAAATGGTTATGTTTAGGTTACAGGTGATTCATATATATATATATATATATATGTGTATATGTATATACATATACATATATATATGTATATATCTGTCAATCATGAAGCTATAACAGCAGAGCATTTTTCTCAAGACTTTCTGTCTCTCTGCAAATATTCAAAACAAGATTAAGAAGACATTTTTCTAAATGTGAACAGACCAGCCGTAATCTGTTAAAACCTTTTTAAAGTATTGAATACAGTGTTGCATCTTTATGAGGCAGACACAATAAAGACATCTTAACTTTAAGTGACAAAACACTGCTATTAAACCGGCTGCTAATTGGCAGTATTTGTCACCCTCCTACAGACTCTTTATGTCTGTCACGCTGTTCCTCTTTCTCTGTGAAATGTGCCTGTTGTTGTTTGTCTCTAGGTGTTTGCTGTCACAGTGTTGAAACCTGGTCTTCTTTACACAATCCTTTTGCAATGCGCCTGCAATCTGCTGCAGATGATTTCACTCCTCTGGAGCTGTTCGTGGAACAATCATATTATCAGTGTGCCGACTGTCAGACCTCGGTTGTAACTGACAAACAGTTTTTACTGGCATTCAACTTTCATTTCTCTATATGTAATTATGATGATGTTTTTTCAGGGTGAGCAGCTGTTGTAATCACCCGTAGGGACAGTGAATTGTGTGAACGTTGTTCATGGTATGGGCTCTGTGTGTCCTCAGACGATCAGATTATCTGATATTAGATGGAATTGGTCGAGCCCTCGCTGACGGCCCCATCATTCTCTGTGGGTCACTTCCTTCATCTCTTACCTGCTTTGTTTTGTTTGGCTACAAAAGAATAGAGCGGGACTTACGTGGAAACCCACACTGCTTCATCAACTTCTTCTTGGACACCACCTTCATGGCCTAGGAAAGTGAGAAAGGATTTAGATCATACAGTGTAATCACATACAGCTTTCTTGCAAGCAAGTGCACCAATAAAATAAAATGAATTAATGACATTAAATGATGCAACAAGAATGCAACTAACTACAAACATCTGTGCTGATACAACCATCAGCAGCTGGATTTGTTATCTGTGTTATTGTCCTGTGTAAAAGGTCGGGGGACAATCTGAACAGGTGAGTCTGAGGCAATGGGATCTTCTGATTGTTTTCTCAAGGACAAACCGTATCAATGTGCTGCAGGTGAAGAGGTGAAGTCTCTGCTTTATGCTGACGACCTTGTTCTACTGTCTCCTGCTCTACAGGGACTACACCCAACAGCTGCACATATACTGCAATACTGCTGTAAATCCACATTTCAGTGAGGTAAATGACATCTCAAAATCAAAAAGAGAAGGAGACAGGACATACCCACAAGCCACCACCTGGTAGTGTTTTTTACACTTTCATGCCAATAAAGCACCTTTGAATCTGAGAGGGTGAACAAACTTTGAGCTGGTGACGCAAAGGAAGAAGAGACACAGTAAATAACATTCACCACATGTTGGACATTTCTCTAAAAATACTAGAGCCACTGTGCTGTCAGAGTGATTTCAGTCTTCATTAATTCATGGTGAGGTGGAACGTTGTGTTCTATTTCACCGTTTCACCAGAGTTTTGGTGATGCACAGCTCTGTAGTTTCTTTTAAAACTGTGGCGCCATCACGATGACTGTGCAGAAACCAGCAAGATTGCAGATCCTCCCCTGTGCAGTTTCCATGGTTTGCTGAGTCTGTGTGTGCGTGTATGCGTGTGTGTGTGTGTGTGTGTGTGTGTGTGTGTGTGTGTGTGTGTGTGTGTGTGTGTGTGTGTGTGGGGGAGGGTAGTTAAGGTGGGTAAATAAAGCATCTCTCAATCACAGGGATGGCCAAACGGAGCAACGGGAGGGAGCAGGGCCTTAGTAACAGAGGTGACCGAGTCACTCTGGCTGAGCTCCAGAGATCCTGTGTGGAGACGGGAGAAACTTCTAGAAGAACAACCATCACTGCAGCTCTCCACCAACCTGGGCTTCAGTGTCCAGACGAAGACTCAGCCTCAGTCAAAGTTTGCAGAAAAGCAGCTCAAGGACTCTGAGACTGTGAGAAACAAGATTCTCCGGGCTGATAAAACACTGTTTGACCTCAATTGGTATTTCTGGAAGTTTCTCCATCTCCACACAGGATCTCTGGAGCTCAGCCAGAGTGACCATTGGGCTCTCGGTCACCTCTCTCCCCCTGATTGCTACTTCTGAGAGAAAGCATCTGCGAACTGTTAGCTCTTTAAACTCATCTCTTCCAATTTGAAATGAGCTGAGTGAATGCCCCCCCCCCTCCCCCTCCAGCACTGATACATGGCTTCATCACAATTGGATGTCTGCCAATCAAGTTGTGAGCAGGGTAATTACATGAAACAGAACGCAGCGACAAACACACGCCTCATACTAAAGACCTTTAGTAATCTGCTGATTACGCCTGTTTCCAACTCTCACTTGTGTTAATACATAAAACTGTGAAGAATTACTCATCATTTTATTTTTGTCCCGAGTGCAAAACTGTGTCATTTCCATCCGTTGTAAAGCCGACCACTGAACTGCTGCTTCATCAACATAGAAATTGATCAGTTTTCCTCAAACATGCTGCCAACGATCTCAATTAACTCAATGAAATGATACAACAAATACATTTCTGTCAAGCTCATAGGAAGCAGGTAAATACAGGTGAGATACAAGAGCCTACAGGAGCCTGTTGAGATACTATCTTTCCTGTGCATTGTAATCTGTGTGTGTGTGTGTGTGTGTGTGTGTGTGTGTGTGTGTGTGTGTGTGTGTGTGTGTGTGTGTGTGTGTGTGTGTGTGTGATGATATATGTGCTACCCCAGATGCAAAAAAATCCAATCAGTTCTCTGTGAAACCAACTCTGACTGCCGGGAAATACGACCACCCTTTCATGGCACCATTACTCATCTGTTCCCCTCCTGATTCCTGTCAGTGTTATTACAGATGAGTCTGTCATTTGAGGCGGCCTGTAGCGACCTGCAGTCTGTCTTCTCTATCAGCGTCAAACAATAAGCATCAAATACAAGAACACTTCCAAATAAAACCAGAAAATGAAAGATGGAAATGCAGAAACTTGAACAGCAGACATGAAGGTTTCCTATACTTTAGATGGGACAGAATGTAGAGGGAGAGAATGAGCTGAATCATAGACTTCAGACCGGATGATTCTCTGAGGCTGGATTCTCTCAGACTGCAACACTGTCTCGCACAAAATGGATTTCTGCTGTTCTTATTTGTGGTATACAGACGCCATTTGTTCTTGCATCCTGCTGCATGTCTGACCAGCTCATCAGGTCGACATGGTTTTAGAGCTGTGTGTCTACATTCCACTCCACCAGGAAAGTTTATAAGATCGCTAGCTTGGAATAATATTTCACTCGTCTTATAAGCCTTGTCTGTGCCCTTATATAAACCCTTGTTGTTTACCGTTCAGCATCAGCACGTTTACAAGCTCCCATTTTAATATTTGGTTGTGTTTAGCTCTGAGCTCCCACTGGCTCCAGTTCAAAAGTACATCTTAAACCCATCCAGAGTTGGCAGCTTAAGTCCACATGACTCATCCAAACACTTTCATTGTTGTTACTGTACAGGGAAGCTTAGCTATGTTAAGACATAAAACAGCTTACATGCAGAGGGGCCGAGGTTGCCGAGCTTTTACGGGAAACAATTCACCTTAATGGAAACAGCTGAAATGACCTGATGTCAGTGCGCCGGCTCATATCCAGACGCTCCCTCAGGAGCTGACCTCAAAGCAGCTACAAAGCTACAGCTGAGCTGCTTTGAAGATGATAAAGTCTTGGATGCACCTAAAGTAGCACCAGAAGTCACTCTCATTTCCACGTTTCCTCCGAGGCAACTGATGCAATTTGAGTGGATGGAACTTACAGCTAAGCTACAAGGTGGAAGAGGGGGAAAATAAAAAAAAATCAATAGCCCTGGTGAGAAGGTGTAAAGCTCCTCTGTCTAGACAATAGCTGCAGAGAGAATGGATGAAATCTCAAAGGAGAGCTGAGACTGTGTGGCAAGAAAAAAGCTCTGACTTACATAATGTTTCTCATCATCCTCATTGTAGGCAAGCTTGACCACACCGTAGGAGCCCTGCAAAGCAACGACAAAGAGACTCGTTTTCATATACGGACCGACTCGTTCACAGCAACACATGCTTCAGTGATGGTTCAGTCCTTGGTGTGGAGGTTCAGCTCCACATTTATGTTTAATATTGAATAAATAAAAAAACATTATGAAATAATCATATGAACTAAGTGTGTAAACCAACCAACAATTTGTGAAATAATTGAAGAAGTTATTCAAACTCAAGTCATTATCATGAAGTATTATTTCATCATTCATTTTTATATTTCAGTGTAGACATGACTTGACATGAAATGTTTCATCGGAAAAATGTAATGATGAAATACGAGCAGATTTCTGAAATTTCGAAATAAAAATATCTAGTACAAAATAAAATGAAGTCATTTCTTATGAGAATATGGACGGAATGACATTTTATAATAGTGAATTGAGTCACTGCTTAAATAATTGAATTTCCACGGTGTATTTGTATAATTTTGGAGTTCCATACACATTCAGACTACGAAGCTGATGGGCTGAGGTGGTGGTAGATTCTGTTCAGATCTCTATAGCATCACTTTAAGAACAGACGGCAGCACCATACTGACAGTGTTTTGAAGGCAGCACCGTTTCCATTCAAAAACAACATTTTTATTCTTTGACAGCACAGAATGGCTCCACCCACACACACACACACACACACACACACATTGCCACGGGATATGATCTTACCATCATAGCCCTGTTTTTCCCCCACTGGTTTCTTCTTGATAACAGCAAACAAGAACCATAACTGCTTGAAACATTCACATTAATTAAATAAACTGAGTTATATCACCTTCAATGTCTTCCACAGCCAGAATCACCAGCTGGCAGTTCATAAATGACTCAGGGTTTAATCGTCCTTAGAACAAAATTGCTTCTATCTCATGGACAGACACAGATCTATTTGTGGGCTTTAGTTACCACGTTGTCAGAGTGTGAATTCTTCCAAACATCACCTTATATTCTCTCTGTTTTCTAATAAACTGACACTAATTTTTTACTCTTTAATATACCTACTGTTAATTAGCCCTTTTAACGCCTGTTGCTAACGATACCTTCATATCTTTACACCACTTTCTGCATGTGCCTGGCCTTGCTGCATACAATGAGGGCACTTCCCTTTTTAAATTGCCAGGTTTTACAATTTTCACCTCTGTTGCTGCCACAGTGAATTTCCCCCTGTGTTAGACCCAAGAGTATTTCTCTCCAAGCGACACTTTGTGAAAAGGAAAACTTGTAGCTGTCACAGTAACTGTAGCAATAACACATGCTGCAGGTCAGTGTGACCTCTGAAGTTTAAAATGCTGCAGATTTCGACTCTAATTCTAACCCTTCAAAACACCGATGATGCAGACTTTAAATTTTGCCATTTCTCTTTTCATTTCCTCCTGACTTTATATGTTGATATCCGATCTAATGTTTTTGTCACACTGACACATTTATCTGGGCTGGATATGTACCTGACCCTATACCTGGTGGTCGGTCGGTCCACCTCTTCAAACTAGACTGAATGTTTCTGTTGGGTGGACTGCAATAAAGTTTTGTTTAAAGATTCAGGTCCCCAGAGGATGAATCCTAATGGCATCTGTAATCTCCTGACTTTACTTCTAGCACCACCACGAGGTTGACATTTTGTTTTTAGTGATAACTGGCAAATGTTATGATGCTAACATGCTAAACTGCTCTTATGGACACTGTAAACATCTCCTGCTAAATATCAGCATGTTTGCATTGTCACATCTGTTTGCATTGGGAGCATCTTAGCATGCTGAGGTTAGCATTTAGCTCAAAATGGCAGGATGTTAGTATATTTCTTGAAATGAAGAACTTGAGCAGCTATAAAAGCTGTTGATTTAGAAAACTGTAGGATAAAATAGGAAACAACATTATTGAACTGGGAGCTAGAGGTCAAGTCTCAAGTTTAAGTCAAGTAGGAAGTTGAAAAAGTGACTTTCAAAGAGTTTTATGTGTCAACTCACCAACGTTCTCTTTGAAAGTCACTTTTTCAACTTCCTACTTGACTTAAACTTGAAAAAAACTAAACTAAAAATCACAAAGATTTCAGTTTCTTACAGCATCCTCTGTGGTGGATGCTGCTGCCCTCTGGAAGGTGCTAAAGGTCCATCAAGACCCGCATTTCCAGACTTCTACAGTCACCCAAGTGCCATCAAAGAACTGAACTCTGTTAAAATACTTGAGGCTGGGTCTGTGCAATAATTCTCTGTTTAGGTGCAATAATACAGCTAAACTCTTAACAACCGGTGCAATACAGACTCTTTATTATTCGCACCTGTTTTTATGATTCACGTGTATGCTATTTATGCTATTTAGTGTATGGTTCTTTTGTCTTATTTTATATTTCTATCTTGAACATTTGTGCCACTACGGAGATGCATTAAATGTCGCTGCATAGCTGTGCAATGACAAATAAAGGCATTCTTTTCTTTTCTTTTCTTTTCTATTCTATTCTATTCTTTGTTGATATATCTTTGAATATGGAAAGTAAACCTCAGGAAAATGCTTCACCCTCATAGAGGCTGATGAAAGCATCGCTGAATGAAGCTAGTGAGACGGAGGCTGGCCCAGACATGACGTCATGACTTTACCTGTCTTCACGGTGGATGGAGGGGTGTTATGCACCTGAATAGGTCCAAAAACAAACCCTCCTATCTATATCATAATATATTATACTTGTAAAATTGAACAACCCACAAGCCATACGAGGAGACAACACACAACTGTTAGTGTGCACACGCTGTAATGATTTCGATGCCCAGGTAAATTGAGCAAACGGCCAATCTTCCCCAAGCTACTGTTATTTTCCCAAACCACCTGAAATTTGAGTTAAAGGGCAGAAACATAACAAACTCACCTTTCCAATCTCACTCTTCAGCTTATACTGGTTCAACTGGATACAGTCCTGTTAGAGGGAAGAGAAAAGGAGGGGGCATGAGGAACTAAATCATCAGTATAAACAGGATCAGCACCACAGTAAATGTTTTGCATCCTCCAAAGCAAAGAGAAACAGGACTGTCTTTGGTGCAGGAACAAAATGTTCCCGCTCTGTGTGTGTGTGTGTGTGTGTGTGTGTGTGTGTGTGTGTGTGTGTGTGTGTGTGTGTGTGTGTGTGTGTGTGTGTGTGTGTGTGTGTGTATTCGTGTTGAAAGACATTTATTTCTCAGATGTAGGTAACGATGCAGTCTGTAGTTTCTGTTTACTGTCTTCAAATCCATTAGAGTGCTGCTGCTTAAATGGCTGATTTGCAGTTCCATAGCAACCACCAGCTACAGCACAGAGTCAGCCAGGGGCACGGCAGAGGAGAGTAGACCACAGCAGGGCAGAGGGGGTGGGGGGTGGGGGGGCAGACAGCAAAGTCAATAAGCACAAAGTGAGCAGTGATTTAAGTGCGAAAACAAAGGGGATGGAGCAGTGGAGAAAGCGGATTTAAAGCTGTTGTCTCGTTACAGTTGGGTGGGGGTGCTTAGTGTGAGCCAGACCATACTGGAACATGTTTAAAGGATGAGAGGCGGTGGCAGAACACAGATGTTACAAAACAGACTCAAAGTACAGCACCAACTCACGGTGTAGGACAGGACCTCACTCGGCATCAGGCAAGGTATTTTAGAAAATATGACATTATATGGCGGGTTACATAACGCGCCGGTTATGTAGCTTGTGCTGAATATTCCTGGTGCTGCAGGAGATGTGAGGAGGGTTATGCACTGTAGCTATGATGGTGTGAAGTACTGTGGGCAGGGATTATGACAAAGGGTGAGAGATAGAACAGAAGATTTGCTTTTGTGAGGTGAAGCGCGCGGCACAACTCGGAAAAAGAATCGCTTTGATTTGTTAAAGAGAGATAAAGAGAGCGGAGAAAACGGAGCGATGGGAGGATAAAGGGAAAGGCAAATGAGGAGGATCGGAAGAAAAGAGCAGTAGGAGGGATTGTCTGTGAAGACTTCCATTGGGTTCACAGTTTGCTGGCACATGCTCAGTGGGCGCTGCAGTGCAGTTAATACTCTGTCAGGGCTGATGGATAAAGAGGGCCAGGCAGAAAGCCTTAAATACATCTGTCACAAGCACACACACACACACAAATTCAACTCAAATGCTCCACGGGGCCACAATAAATCTTTCAGAGCTTTTTGTATCACATTGTCACGTTAGACTGTTGCTTTACATAAACAGTGTCTTCCCTCAGTATGTAAACACACCCTTCCCTCCCATCTGCACCAAACTCTCCACATCTCTCCAATCCAATACTGACATACAGAACTGATCAATATCAGTGCCTAACAAATACATCACTGTCAGTGCGCCAATAAAAGCCAATGACTGCGCATTTCATTCTTAAAACAAATGATGCGCAGGTCTGCCACAGGAAGTGTGAAAAAAAGGGAACTTGTGTTTGATCGTATTTAAAGCCTGTAAGTGTAAAATAACTTTCCCCATTCTGTCATTTTAAAAATCAATTTTGAGAGATTGGTATAACGGCTGTGCAGAGGAAGGTGGTTTATTCTGTCTTGTTTTATGGGTTCAGGTGCAAACGGTTGAAATGAGCAGAGCAGACTTGTGGCTTAATGAAGGAGCACCAGCTAAAACAGGAAAGACACATTATGAAATATTTAAGTAACACGTACAGATTCTGTTCTGTGTGTGTGTGTGTGTGTGTGTGTGTGTCCACTGTCAACTACTGCTGCTGCTGTACTTGACAAGAGTTGAGATAACCACAACATTGACTGTGCTAATGTACTGTGAAGATGAAAAGGATAGTAACATTGGTTGTTGCTCAGGGGGTTGCAAAAGTGGCTCATTTTGAAATTTCTTCTGCTGCTAGCTTTAACATAGAGTTAGTCAGACACAACAGATACACAGGAAAAGGCTTTGTTAACTTTTCAAAAGAAACTTCTAAAAGGGACAGATCGGAAAATGTGGAAATGGGTAATAATAATAACAAAAAAGCAAAAACAAAACACAAGCTTTTATAGTCAACATTCAGAAAATAATTCAGGTTAATTCATTTTGATGTAAGAGCCCGCAAAGAAGCTGCAGGCTCTTGAACACAAACAGAAAGGAGACTTGTCTGTAATAAAGCTGCAAAAACCTACTTTGCAAAATGACCCTGAGAGTTGTCACAGATTACTGCAGTACAGGACAGTGTTTAATCTTAATTGGTGGACTCTCAGCAACCATCTGACCACATTACAATGACAGTTCTTATCTTGTCAGGCCCTTCGAAGTACGTCCTCCATTTGTTTCCTATAAAGAATGGGTTCACATTCAAGTCCTCTCTGGAAAACAACACACTCTCTTCACCTATTGTCAGACCCTTTTGCATAATGTTTGAGATATGGTTTAATTTATGCTGTTCTGTGAATCACTCTGTAACTGTGTTAAGAAAAGTGCTATATGAATAAAATTATTATTATTACATTTAAAGCACGAACTGTCGTTGTAATTGGTCCTCCTGTGATTCCAATGTAAGTGATTTAATCCATGGTCCCATTTCTGCACAAAGATTAACTCCAAAAAAATTGAGCCAAAGCTAATGAGGCTTTAACTGAGAGAGAAAAAGGACTGTGGATTTTTTTCCACCACTTCTATTGAAAACGATTCCTTTGCAGCCAGCATCAAAACAGTACTGTCAATGTACATATTAGCATGCGTGGACTGTCTTAAGAAAAATACTGCTAGCATGTGGTTCTATCCTTTAATAAGGTTTATTGTGGGATCTTTTCCTTGTTCTCATTACTGGTTAAGGTTGTGGGTGGGTGGGGGGGGGGTCATAGTCATGCATCATTTTTATTTGTTTCATAATGTGGGTGTTATGTATCCTTGTGAATAATGGCTATATGAATAAACTTGACCTCATATCCTGCTTTGACACAGAACATCATGCTCTGAAAACTGAAGGCAAACACAGCACTATTTATTTCTGGTTGTTATCTCTGGATTTTCTTAATCCTAAACTTAAAGCACAAAACAGAGAAGTCATTGTGTTATAAAATTCATCCCATTTTAAGATTACAGACACCTTGTGAACAAAACAGAGCGAAACACAACAAGAAAAGTGATGGTGAAGTCAGGAGTGAGAACCCAAAGAAGTTTCCTGCAACACAGAGAGAAAACAAAAGAGCTAAGAGGCTTCTGTGCTTTAGTTAAAATGTTATATAAGAAATACACACACAGTATTTCCTCATATGGCTCAGTGCGGGACTTCCCACATTGTCCAGGGAGGACAATTCTCTATAATGAGGGTGGGGATAACAACATGCATGCGTAAATCATTCCTATACATTTTCCCAGTGCGGTAACTGCTGTTACAGCAAGTAACAGTGAAAGACACAGAAACATCTGTGTACCTGCTCCGACTGCAGAGAGGGAAAAACTGAAATTCCACAAAGACAAACAAAAAAAAAAAAACATGCCAGCTACAACAAAAAGAGAAAACCCCTTGCTGCTGCTCATTGCTTCGTATGTATTCCTCACAGGCCTTATGAAATGTCAGTCATTACTGATGTTTGTGCAAGACAGAAATGTTCTCTCTTTCTCTGCTGTGCCATACTGTAGACCCAGTGAGAGCAGGGAAATACAAGCAACATGAATCCTTTTCATGGTTCAGTGCGAGAGCTGCAACTCCATTTTCAGATAGGAAAGGACACAATGACAGGTCTGAGAGTCTGTGGCAGCAGTCTGTTAAATTCAGAGGGGTTCCACATCCTGGCAGATGTCATGAATTTTTAATGCTCGCTCCGAATTGAAAAAAAGTCAGAGGAAAATGGAAATTCAGGAGTCACCCACTCCCACATGATACTCCTACTAGTTCTCATGGGTTAGCACAATGGCACTGATATTCAATTTTTTCACCTGCATGTATTCTGAAAAGAAATCTACAACCATTTCTGTAGGTCAAGTTTTAAAGCAACATTATGCAACAATTTTAGCTTAAAATAACAGCTTGAAAATCATTTAGTTGGTACACTGACTCCTTCATTCCCACTCCCCACCCTGAACGCCTGTTCTTGGGTTGAGCTAGTTTTCTGCTGTGAGAAGTGCGTTAACGCTTTACAGCACAACGTCACACGCCACCAGGTCGTCAGCTACAAGAAGAAGCTAGCTGGTTATTCTCAGTACGGATTTCGCGTCGGAGGCAAAGAGACTAGCTCCTAGCATCTACATATTAGCACACAGCCTCTGAGGGATCAGGTGTTTTTAGTCAGATCAGATTATCTAAATGCTGACCTCACATGAGTGGACAGTGTGATTGCCCCTTTGTAGTGAGACGTTGCTTCCAGTGCCCTTAACCACTCGGACATGGAGCCCAACAGGTTTTAATGCGCCCGTGTCCTGTAATTACCACTTGTGGCTGCAGAAGCTGCTGCTCGGCAAAAGTGACATGAACTTGCTTCAAATGAATAGTTCAACATTTTGGGAAATACACTTATCTACTTCCTTGCTGACTTAGATGAAAACATTGATACCTCTCTGTCTGTAAACTATGAAGCAACAACCAGCAGCTGGTTAGCTTAGCTTATCAAAGAGGAAACAAGGTGAAACAGCTAGTCTGCTCTGTCCAGAGGTAACAAAATCTGCCTACCAGGACCTTTAAGATCACTAATTAAAACATTATATCTTGTTTGTTTGTTCTGTACAAAAGCCGATGTGTAAAAACATCACTATGGTTTTATGGGAGGTTAAGTGTTTGAGGTGGAGTGTGTGATTCAAGAACAGTAGTTTAGAGTAGTGTGAGTAATCCTACTGCATTTTCTGTTTTCAGCTGGTGGCCTGCCCTAAATATCATCTAAACATCATCATCTGGCATGTGGACATTCCCTGGTGCCAAGCCAACCACTGCCCCAGATATGGGTCAAATGGCTCCCAGTGAGACTCCACTGCCAGGCTGTTTCCAAATTGTGGCAAGGTTGTGTGACAAGCCAGCAACCGTCCACAAAAAAACCTGAGAATGCAGCACGCAAACACCTTCAGACAGACAGTGATGGATCTGACCTGACCCGACTTGATTTACGAGCTAAGAAACACCCCTGAAGTATGGAGGAGGTGCCATGGTAACACAGCCACACTCACTCTTCAAGGTCATCTGGGACTCAGGTCCCTAATGACTGGAGACAGAGTGTGATATTTCTGTTCTGGAAGAATAAGGGTGCAAAAGACCAAACCACAAACTACTGGGGCATCACCACGTTGAGCATCCAAGTCAGGGTGTTTGCTTACATCCTGCTAGCACGGAGCAGACCCATCCCACTGGGTAGGGGCAGAGATGGCAGCATGGTGGTTTTACACCTGGATGGTCAACGCCAGACTGAATTCTTGCATCCCAGCAACCACAGTGCCAACCACTGTACCAACCTCTGCACCAACCACTGCACCAACTACTGCACCAACCACCGTCCCAACCACTGCACCAACCACTGCACCAAGTACTGCCCCAACCACTGCACCAACTACTGCACCAACCACCGTCCCAACCACTGCACCAACCACTGCACCAAGTACTGCCCCAACCACTGCACCAACTACTGCACCAACCACCGTCCCAACCACTGCACCAACCACTGCACCAAGTACTGCCCCAACCACTGCACCAACTACTGCACCAACCACCGTCCCAACCACTGCACCAACCACTGCACCAAGTACTGCCCCAACCACTGCACCAACTACTGCACCAACCACCGTCCCAACCACTGCACCAACCACTGCACCAAGTACTGCCCCAACCACTGCACCAACTACTGCACCAACCACCGTCCCAACCACTGCACCAACCACTGCACCAAGTACTGCCCCAACCACTGCACCAACTACTGCACCAACCACCGTCCCAACCACTGCACCAACCACTGCACCACCCACTGTACTAACCACTGTACTAACCACTGCACCAACCACCGTACCAACTACTGTACCAACCACTGTAGACTGTAGCACAGCTGGACTAGATTTTGGGGGTGATGTAACTAACACCGCATGTGATGAATGAGGAGACCCAACCTCTAGGCCTCTCAATCAACAGGCACAAGACCAAGGTGAAGTGTTTTAGTAACTTCCACCCCAAACCCTCACCGCTCAGCCAATCTACCAAACTGAGACTGTACAACATCCCGATCCTGTCTCTCCTGTGTGCTGCAGACTTGTTCTGTCCTCAAATCAGAAAAGACATCCTGATGCCTTCAACATCGCAGCACAGAAGGCCTGAGGTGGTACCATGGGGTTACAATGCCTGGCTGCATTACCAGTTTCAGCAGTCATCAGGACTAGAAGGTTAGGACCACATCATCAGGTCCGATCCACCATGAAACCTACCCGACTGCTCTGGAAACCACCACCCTGAGGATGGTCAGGACAACCTGGACTACTCTACTGCAGGAGAACCTCGGGGGGGGGGGGGTTTCAACAACAGCACAGCCTGGAGTTTTGCCCAGAGCCGTATGGCCTGGAGGAAGTACATGCTTGCCTCAACAAGGGCTAGCATATGAGAATGTGAGTTATGTGTGAAATTATTTCTTGGCTGGATGCAGTGACTTCCTGGAGTTACTACTACTTAAACAAATGAGATATAATGCACCAATTAAAGAGCTTTAGGGGTGCTACAGGGGTGGATTTTGTTACCTTTCGACAGAGGATGGCCAGCTTTTCCCACGTTTCCAGTCTTTGTGCTACACTAAGTTAACCATATCCTGGCTCTAGCTTCATATTTAGCATAAAAACATAAGAGTGGTATCAATTTTCTCACCTTTTTCTCAGACTATTCCTTTAACGTGTTACAGACATGAGTAACTGCAGACACTGCCCACCTCAAAGCAATATTTAAGAGGATCTAAAAAGCAAAGGTAGAGCAACACCAGTGAAGAGTCAAAAAGCTTTGATTGCTTGTTCCTGTTTAGCTTCATATCTAACATAAATATTTTCTCACCTTTCTCTTGGCAGGAAAGCAAATATGCATATCTCTCAAAATGGCCGACTATTCCTCTAAGGTGCTACAAGCATGACTAACTAGGTGCAAAAGCTGCTTACCCCGAAGCAATTTTTAAAAGGGTCTAAAAAAGCTAATATAATACAATGTAGATCATCACCAGTGAAGAGGCTTTGACTGATTGTAACTGTTGAAATGTATGCTGATATAAAGATGCACCACCCAAGTGTTTCCACACTGTGTATGTTTGTGTAAAACTTGAAGGCTATTGGCTGCATTCAGTGAACCTCCAGTAGATCTGGTGTGTTCATCAGTGGGGGTTTGTCAGCTCACTCCTGCATCCCTGAAACCCTGGAAAACAGGCGATGAAGCAGGTAGTTTCAGACACCGTGAATTTCTTTTCTGAATGTGCAGTAAAAACGTCAGAAATGCAACAGCCAGCAGGGGGAAGGCATGAGAGGGGACGGTGTAACAACCTGAACAGGCTACATCTAATTTATATAAACAGATATACACGCAGAGAAAAACAAGTAGAAATGTTACATGTGATTACCATGGCAAATTCTCAGCTGCTGCCACCCCTCACCCACTTCTTCTATCATGTATCCAGCAGCACAATGTTGGCCTGAATGCATGTCATGTCTGATGAAACAGTCAAAAGTGCTCTTGTCAAAGCTAACCCCAGAACACAACGCCCTCACGTCATTACCACACACACGTGCTAACAGTACAGGGCATGGGGTATCATACAGGCTGCACATCCATGACAGAAGCTGGGATAATGATGTGTTAACATAAGTCAGCTAATAGACACTGGCATGTCTCTATGATGATCTGTGCTAATGGGAGCCTAGTGTGCTCACTTTCTCACAGGCTTCCTCCTACTTGTCATGTTCTCCACTGACCTCCTGCTCCTCTTCCTTTGGTTATAATGCAGATATACTGAACTATATGCCGCTTGTCTCTAGTCATGACGACTGCTTTCATCACCACAGGGGAGCTGCATTCTCTCAGTTTGTGTGTTACCCCCTGCTATGGTGTCACACCTGACGCACAAATTCATGTCCGCAATTCCACATCAGAGGAATATAGTTTTAAAGAACAGAGAAAGTTCTAGGTGTAAGATTCTTGGCTCTTTCTGTGTCACTGTAAATGGAAAATCTATCAATTCTCATGCAGTTAAGGAAATTTAACAATTTAATGATTATTAATTTTAATAAAACATGAATAAAAATGACTTCCTCACCTGAGCGTCTGATATAGACACACGTTTAGACTCCACTGTGGGCCTGCGAGCCACTCGGGGGGAGATATGCGTGAAGCCTCCTCCAGAGCCTGAGGACAGGTAGGTGCCTCTCTCCTGCAGCGACAACTTCCTTCCAGTCAGATGAGGGCGCAGCGGATGAGTCCTCTTGGCCTGACCCCAGTCCTGCTGAGCCCCGCTATTCCTCACGCCATTGGCAGCTGAGCCGCCTGAGTCTTTTGTCGTCATGGCAGCCATGGTGTCCATGAGACTGCTGGTCTGTTTGTCAGAGTCAGGGTCCAGCCTCTCACAGCCAGGGTCACTGCTCGAAGCCATGGCTGGCGGGGGGATGGGAGCGGTGCAAGAGCAGGTGACAGGGAGAGTACTGGGGGTTGCCCACCAGCATCAACGTGACCTGGGCCAGCCTGTGCTCGCAATGTTCGACGTCTCACCGGAGCTGGAACAGAGGGGGAAGGGGCTATGAGCTCAATCAGATACTGCAAGACAAGCTGATCTACATTATATCCACATTTGGATCAAAAGAAAAAACGTTTTACTTTAACATGCTAGACTACAGCCATGCTAGTGGCTCTGTGAGGCTATATGTTTGGCTGACATTAGCATGCTAACATGCTCACAATGCCAATAGTAGATACTTATTTATCCCCTGGGGGAAATTCATGATATTAATATGTACATACAATATTAATATGCTGCTGTTTAGCAGGTATTTTACCACCCTCGTTTGGCATGTCTGTATGTTCGATGAAGACCTTCAAACACTACTCTGTAAAAACGCTGCAGACTTCTCTGCACATCCTTCAGGTAAAATAAATCATTTAATGCATGTTAGTGTTTGTCGACAGTATTCTCCTAAAGAGATTGAACATCAGCCAAACATAAAGAGGTAAAGGACAGAAGCAAATATAATGTATCTATCATAAATCATTAAAAAGTGTTGTTAGTGTATTGATTGAATTAATGCTGCAATTTACATGCAACCCCCCACACTTCTGAAACCAAACCCACACCCTCGGTCATTAGGAGACATTATCTGCGAACCAAGATTGTCTGTGCAGCATTTCATAGCAATCCATCAACAAGCGTCTGGACCGGCTGACATTGCAGGCGCTAGTGCGTCTAACTTTGTCCGCTGTTTCTGATTGTCTGACAAAACCTCAGTTCTCTCGTATTTGATAACTTAATTCAAAGCTCTCATTTTGTGAACTGCCCCTTTCCCTTTTATTGGCTATAATAGAATTAGACAGTATAATGGGTACTATGTTGCCAGACTTAATGATGAGATATTGATTGGTATGATTGTCTTTTAGTCTGGTGTTTAAGGCTGTGTTACAGTTAAATTACATTTTCTGAGCTGATTTGACCGTTTTAGCTCGACAACATCCGCACTAACTTGCTTATCGTATTCTTGACCATCGTATCCACATTACAGTTTTCTTTTTCCAGAATTGCCATAAGCTGCTCGTCACGTTGCATTGTCACTTGATAATAAACACACAGATTTATATGATTGCAAAGACTGATTTTGAACCTTTGACTTCTATTATAGATATTTGGCTGGCCACATCTTGCAGCCAGAGCAGCTTTGAGACTAAAGTTTAATCAAGCAGACAGATAAAAGAGAAAATGTCATCTGTATGTGTGTGTGGGTGGACTGGTGGGTCAAGTTACCTACAGACATGCGATCATAAACTGAAATAAATCCCCTGATAAAACCCTAACCAAATGCTGCAAAACTAATTATGCTTTATTCCTCTTTGGTCATTGCACCTTGTATCCCCATCAAATGTTTGTGGGTGGGCTGATACACAAAGAGATACACACATAAAAAAAAAGACTGACGGTATTGTGTACATTTAGCATGTGTGCGCATACACACAGACATTTAGCGGGATTTGTTTATTGTGGATTTTTTCCTTTCATCTCTAATGAAAATCAAGTCAGCGGCAGATTGCCACAGACAGGGAAAAATCAAAGCTCTTTCGCGTATCTGGTTCAGGTTTTGTTCTGCAGGTGGAAGAACAGAGATATGCAAAGTGCGCCTTGCACAGTCATCCAAGGAAAAGGGCACTTAAATCCCCACTCAAACAGTTTCCCTCGACCGTATGTAACAGCAGGAATCAAGAGGAATAAGCGTGGTGGTTGTTTGCCACCTGGGTTTGCAAATGTGCTGTGAAAGATTGAAAAGAAACAAATATACATATGTACAGTATATATACAAAGTCACTTCTGTGGGTATTAGGTGTGCAGTAAATGGGCCATGCTATGCTATTCCTGAAGTGTGTCAGGTAGGTAGAGCTTCACATTCAAAAATAGGCTAACTGTTCCACTTCGTCCAGGTGGGTCACAGTCATTCATGCGTTTGCACAGCACGGCTCTAGGGGTGGTGATGTCAGACAGTCGCTCCACCACTTTGGTCCTGACTGAAATATCTTAACTTTTCATCAGGCAACATTAAGTCAAAATTTCTATAAACCTGTAATAAAAATAAAAAATAAAAAAAAATTCTGCCTCAGATTTATTTTGTATTTAGTGCTAAATTCCAAATGTCAGCATGCTAACATGCTAAACTAAGGTGGTGAACGCGGTAAACATTATACCTACTAAACATCACGTTAGCATCGTCACTGTGAGCACGTTAGCATGCTGATTTTAGCATTCAGCTCAAAAACCGCTGCGTCTAGGTGCAGTGTCACAGCGCTGCTAGCATGGCTGTAGACTGCTACAGTGAAGACCCACTGAGCGCAACATGAGGCAATGCAAAGTTTAGCCCCATGCATGGCTTTGCAAGGCATTGTGGGATTCCAGGCAACGTGGGGTTGATCAGCTACAAGGGAGGGATGGACAGCTGAAATATGTCAACTTAATGCAAGTGAGGGCAAAAAAATGTCCATATTATTATAAATTCTAAACAGCATTTTCCTCACAGACCACCATTACAAGCAACATCTGTAAAGCTGCTGAACAACACCTGGAACAGCAATCCTCTTTCTACTAAGAATTTCCACACCATGGAGGTTTTATATTTGCAAACTACAAAACTTTTTTTGATTTATGTGCCTGGCCAGCAATTTTCATTCTAAATCGATTGCATTTGTAATCAGCTTTTGTAGTCTCATTGACCCCTCGAAGCACTTTACATTACAAGCCACATACACTCACACAGTGTTTTTCTATCACACACACAGCGATGATACATGGGGGACAATCTGTGGTCGCTTTCCGATTAGTGAACAACGCGCTCTACCTGCTGAGCCACTGCCGCCCCGGTTCTTTGTAGTAGGGTAATGGCTTGTCATGAATGTCACATATTGTGCCTTGCACGCACGCACACACACACACACGCGCACACACACACACACACACACACTCATCATTTGCATATTTCAGATGACTGTTATTCAAACTAAATTCAGATGGCAGGAAAAAGCTTTTAACTGTCAGCTGCGAGGGGAAGTGCGTTGTTTGACTGCTACTCATTTGAGCAAAAAACAAAAAAGGAACCATCATATTTTGCTAATTCCTATCACAACTAGTGATTATCTGTCTCTCTATATCTATCTCCACTGTTGCACCATCCAGCCCACTGTATGTGTGAGCAATATCCTGGTGGAAGTGGGAGGCGGGGGAGCAGCAGCGCACTGGTTATTAATTTCAGCTGCACTGAGACTTTTATTTGTTTACAGAAGCAGGTAACCCCACATTTTCATTACGGAGGACACATTTTTAAAAATGTATTTTTTTTTTATTAGGTTTCATATTTTCTTTCACATCTAATCTTATTAGCTTCCACTGCATCCATCCATCTTTTCACATAAGTATCAGGGATTAAATTAAACGTAGCCAGGTAGGTTTCGTCTCTAGGTTTACACGTGATGTGACTGTTAAATGTCTTTGTGTAACAAATGCAGCAAAACATTTGAAGTTGTAACACATTTTCCTTTAAAGATACAGTCTTTGTTTTTCTGTGTATTTTTTCAGAGCCGGAGGATGAGGCACAATGGGGATTTCCCCCTTCAACCTTGATATCACACACCTGGATCACTCTATCATCTTTTGTTGATTATCCTGCTGAACAAAATGTGTCAGGATCATAAACTTTTGTTTGTTACATCTTATTTCCTGCACTCATCCAAACTACCAACGTAAAAACCCCATTAACTTTTTGTCGGGGAAACCAGAGTGACACTAACATCCGAGTCGGCCCACAAAATCATGGTTGTCACATTATCTTATTTTGTCATTGCCATTACTGTTAAAAAAAAAAAAAAGACCTCTGACTGGTAGAAGTGCTGGATATCTAATCTGCATGATCAAACTGCCTTTTACATACATGTACATACAGTATATGAATAAAGCTCATTAGCAGCTGCTCCGTATTTTGTTGTTGATTAAACACAAAATGTGCTGCTGCAGTGACAAATTTCAACATCTGAAGCTCAGATAACTGCAACGGCTTTCGTTTATTAGCTTAAACAAACTGAGGAAAAATAAAATGGATAGGTGAAACCCGGTGACAACCTTGAGAACTGCATCTGAATATGAAGTGTTTTCAATAGCTGCCATCTTTCAACTGGTTCAGATGGAAAGAAGCTTCAGGAGAGCCAATTACAGTAGGAGAAGGGGGGGGGGGGGGGGGTTCCGTGGAGGGTGAACAAATGAATCAATTTGGCTCCATTAGAAAACCATTTTCACCCTTAACCTGGCTTCTGTTTGTCTCTCCCATTATTCTGTTGTGTGCAGAAAGAGACAGCCAAGGCCAAACAAAACCCGTCATCAAGAGTTTATTCATTCTTATTGCTCTCACATTTTCTGATGTTTATTTAGTTGTTTCTTTACCTCCTCCGGGGGCAGGCACACAATCTACAGCTAATATTAAAGAGAGAGACGAAAGGCTTGTGGTCTGACCTTGCAGACCTGCAGTGAGTTATGCTTTCTGAAAAATATAGTCTTTAACCACGTAACTGCAGTACACAGGGACACGTTGAGAGCAGGGGGCATGTAGCGGGATGTTGGAGGCATATGTTTGGCACCCTCTTCCTTTGACAGGAGGCGGCAGTACATTTCTTCTTCATCGTCTTCGTTCTCATCCACTGTGAATATTTTAAGTGAGGTGCAGCTACCACCTCTCTCAACAGGATCAAAGGCAATCAACTTTGATTGCTCTCTGATTACAAAGATGTCATAGGACGACAATCTGCACTGCAATTATGTTAAACCCAAACAGATCTTTTTTTTGTCTCTGCATATGCATAACACATGAAAAACACACTGAAAGGTGCAGTGTGTGCGTCACTGTGTGAGGTTTCCTCTGTTGTAAGATCAGAGGCATGTGTTTGTGTGATGCTACTGACAAACTGAATTCCTCAGGTGGAACAGAGCTCACGTTGATGGACGACACGCTGTGGCCACGGTGCTTCCCCTAGTAAGAATGAA